GTAAATCAAGGTCCAATGATATTTAGTAGTATTTGGAAAGCTTTATTCAGTTCAAGCATATTCAAATATCTTTGCATAGTAGCAGCAGAGCAATTAGGAAAACATAAGGAGCATTTAAGGAGCAATGTTTTAGGCATTATAAGCATATAAATTTTTATTTTTTGTCGCTATTTTCTCGGCTGTCCCAGAAAGCAAACCAAACGTTGCCGCTGATGGACATTCGTTTCTCTGTTTATTTCATTGCTTTTGTCCATCCTGAAACATGAGAAAGTAAAGAATTGTTTGAAATACAGACTCCACGATACAGTTACAATAGTAGTATATTTTATTATTTATAATATGTACAATTAAAAATAACACTTTCTTTACAAAATATAATCCTGTACATTATGCATTTGCCAAATCTTCGCGATCGGATCGATTGGCACTATCCTTTTCTGTGCAGAAAATAAAAGACAGTGGATGGCGTTATTAGTCTCGAAATTATCTGAATGATAAAGATGATTTTTGTGTTTATGCTTCCTTGTTTTTCTCTTTTTCTACTATGTTAAACACTTGTACCCTATGCTCAAAATAATCGACGATGAAGCCACGCGTTACGAGAAATAAGATTTAATCGATTAACTATATAGATGCTTAATATCTTAAGATAATTCTAGGACTAGATCACCTATACGAACGAGTTCGAGAATATCTCGTTAAGCCTCCAATAGTTTTCCGCCATTTCTTTCTTTCTAATTGAAAAAATCTTTAATATGTACCTAGATGTATCGCAACGATTGAATTTCAAGAACAATACACTTTTCGTACAGCTTCCTTGGACATTTAATAATTATTAATTCTAGATCGAGTGCGATGATCTTGAGTGATGTTAATTACAATTAATTGACTGCGCTAAAACGGCCATTTGCTCGCGGCGGTCTCCATAGTGCTCTTACAGTTTCTTTCATTTTCCTAATTCGCCATAAAGTTTGTCGAACAGAATATAAATACAATTTTGTTAAATCACTTAAACAAAGTTTCTTGTTCAGACCACTGTTATACAGACTTTCTTATACATCTTACATCAGAAGAATTCGTCGTTTACCTTATTTTTCAAATTTTTGCATTTTCATACACACCATCACCATTTGCGTCTAACTTATTTGTACGAGAAATATAATAATACCTGTTCGTACAGTGATTTTACAAAGACTGTCTGTTGATTCCTTGTTTCATTATTTATTATCATTGAAAAGTGTATTTTAATTCAAGGAATTCATTTAAATCTCGCGTCTTTTCTTATCCACGCTTACAACGGGATCATGAAAAGGATTCAATTGTTCTGAAAGAATCGACAGAAAATAACGCAGTCCTTCCTCGAGGATCTTAAAATTCACAGTGAGTGGAATTAGTATGAAATCTGTTAAATTGTCTAAGTTTATAAAAAATATACAATTTCAAGATTAGTGTCTTGTAACGAATCCGATACAGACTTGTCTGAGACTTTCTTTAAGTTTGACCGCCATTCTCATTGTGATAATGAACGTATATGAAATAAATTCTTTAATACTAGACTACAAAGCACACGAAATTTTGGAAAAGTTGTTGTGACTTGTCAGTGAAATGTCTGGAATAAGTCTGAACATTACATTCTGTACCATGTTCCAAATGTGTGCCTGCACAGCAAAGTTACTACGCAATGGACAATTGAAGTGTCGCATAAAAATTGTGTCAAAATTCTTTCACTACAAATACATTTAACAAACATTGGTTTACGTCCGCGAAAAATGTTGTATTTCTTTCTGAATAAGATGGACGAGGAAATAAATCAGTCTGTTACGGATTTGACAAAAGGAAGAAATTTAAACAGCTGGTCGCTATTAATTTTGGTAATTTTACGAGAATCGAGAGATCTTCTACATACCTATTAGCGCTTTCAGTTTGTACAAAGGCAACTATGTCAAGACACATATGTACGCGTACTAATTGTACACCTATGGTTTGGTAACACCACTGGACAGACGCTGAACAATGAAACTACTTGTAGGACACCAAAAAGTCATTTTCTACCTAACACCTTTTAGCCACTACTGGAATAATTATTACAAACTAGCTAAATGACTTCTAGTTTAGAATTGAATCTTTTTTTTTTAATCCTGAGCTAACCAGCCAGTCAGTTCACAACTTCTAGTTATCTTTAAGATGTCTAAACGATAACCTCTGTTGTATTAGACGTCTTTAAGACGACTTTTGGACTGTTTGCGTTGTCTGGGCAAGTCTTCAATTAACCAACTACCAATTAATTGACATGAATCCATCGAGCGCGTAACGAAGTAATTGGATGAAATAGAGAACGTCAAGCTATTTCATTGCAGCATCTTCCATAGGCAGATCCTCCGAGTGTCTCGTTAAATCGGTTTATATGAATTCAGAGTTGTTTCTTGTTGGCAGATCAGAAAGGTTTTCCGAGTCTTTGTACCAGGGGTTGTCTGTAATAAAAAGAATTTACCTCTGTTATCACAGAATAAAACAGCAATTTTTTCTATAAACAATAGCTTTGGATTCACCAGAGGCAAGTACCTGTCGATTAAGGTTTCCTTGGTGTATCAAAATCCTGATCTCCGACCAGGTAAAGGAATTGGAAGGCTATGGCAAGTAAACTAATTCCTAGGAGATCACCCATGGAGGTGAGATAAGGAATGGCAGAGTTGTCAGGATCGATTTTTCGCTTCCACATCCAGTGGATCATTATGTAGGCTATATAAAGTAGTGCAGCCACTTGGAGCATCGCGGCGCACAGGTAGACGAAGACGAAGAGTGGAGTTAACGAGGCCTTACCATCCTTCATATAATTGATCATGTAGATAAAAATTACGTGACCTGGTATCACCATTGCCATTAGAACCCTCGTTGTCCTGGCATGTACACCTGTGAAAGAAAATTACAAAAACTTGAGTAATCGATTCGATGCTGTAAACCTGGTACAAAAATGCAATTGACTATTCGCCTTATTGAAAGAAATGGATTTATAATTCGAAACTGCAAATCTGAATAGCATCTGATCAGACGTAAGAAAATCGTTGACAAGTGATAAATTGTGCACTTTAACGCATCGTTGGGTGCAGTCAAATGAAATTGCATAAGTAGGACATGATGAGATTATGGTAATCAGTGCCTGGTTACATTCCTGAACTATATTGTTAAGTGTTAAGTTGTATAAATGATCGAGTAAATATTATCGATAAATGTTTGTTTAATGGACATGAGAAAAACTGAAATCCCATAATACAAGATTGACTAATTGACAAAAAAAATAAAATCAGTCGAACTCGATTGTCTAAACGCTTGAAATTCATTAGTTCTTCACTTCCGTGACGATGTGGGTGGGTAGGGATGCTGAATAGAGTGGTCAGTGTTCAGTGACTTGATCTTGTTAGTGGTCCACTTGAGGACTTCGAACAAATAGGTACATCAGCACTCAGATAAGCAACTCAGCATGATTCTAGCACCAACAATATTCCAGCTATAAGTTGCCCAGTTCAAATACAAAATATTCATCAGAAACGTATCGCGTTCATACAACTCCTAGAACAATTGTTCAAAAAACGATTGCTCAGTTATATATATAAAAATAGAGTAATACTCTGAATGAAGTATTACAGTAGAATGATGATTTAAAAATCTAATACGTTTTACTTGAAGTTTAGCCATGAACAATGTATGAAATTGAATGCAGTCAAAAAAGTTAAAAGTGCCATAAGAGTGTCAACCAGATTAAACGTTACCTTTGCCAAAAAAGTTGGCGATGGGTGTTATGAAGATGACAGGATGCGTGTGCCCTGGTGGGATAAGAAGTGTCCCGAGATCAGCTTGCTTGTGTAACGCAGTTGATATCCTGCTAGCTTGAACAGCCACCAGATTTCCACCGACGCCATTAATGACCGGTTGAAACACGGTAAGGTTCTCGTATCGGGAGACCATAAATTCCAAGATCAACCCTCCGCAACTGTGACAATGTAAATAACAATAATCAATTCTTTCCCTAATTTATTTAACAATCATAAAATTTACCTGCTGATAAGCATGGCGATCATGACTGGAGTCCATCCAGAGTACAGTACGTTATTGGTGTACTTGTTCTTCTTGGCTATCCAAACCCAGAGTGGCGTGATGAGGATGTAACAAGCAATAATCAGTGGTGCCAACCAATCCTGCTTGTCGATGGCCTCGTAGAGGATTGTCGAGATCCACGATAGGAGGGCCAATGACGTGATGTCGCCCAAACTGGCTGCTATCGGTGTTGCTACGTTATCAGGATTGATGTGACAATGACGGGACAGGACGATCACGCCTGCCGTGATCAGCCCGAGAACAAAAGACGCCAGAGATGCTGTGACGAGGCTGCTTGCACATAGAAGATACGAATGGTCCAGCGAAACCGTGCCGTTGCGCAAGGCACCCATAACAATGGCTACCACCGAACCCAAAAAACCAACAACAATGGCTTGACACTGTAACAAAGAGACGTTTTTGATTGTTACTACTGACTGTTGATACGTGCCAATGATTACAACAATAACCACGTGTCATAATAATTATATAAAATAGATTCGATACAAAATTAATAGTTAATTTTGAATTTATGCTATGGGATATTTTTAGCGAAATATCCAATTTTCATAGTATTTTTTCGTTACAAAAACAATTGTATTTCTTCGACCTCATTTCTTTGGTAAATTCTTCTTCGGCATGCATTCGTATAATGTTATTTCGTAATGACGATATACTGAGTATCTTCCTGACAGCCAACCTGAAGGAGATTCTATATGTTTGTACAAGAGCGAACCCGGCGCTTTACGTCGCCGCGTCGCGACGCCTCCCGTCTGATTCTACAAACACGTTGTGCGACCGTTTTTCTAGACGACTGATTATACGAACGTTTTCCAAGAAGATGACGCGTAAGGTTGATTGACTGTTTGCGAATTCTCCTGTAATAACAGTCATTGTACTTGGCGATGAACTTTTTTCAGGGTTTTCGTTGTTGTACTAAAACTAGAATATGGAAACGAGGTACCGAGCAAAATGAATAATTACGTGAAGACAAGTGATTATCTTGTGATATTTTAATAATTAACCAAACAATGTGACACGTTGCCCATATAGGTTGGTACCGAAGATCATATCAAATTCAAACAAGTCGAGAATCCGAAGGCCACGTACCGTCAGCGCCCGTGAATAAATAATAAAATAAAATTATGGCATTACTGATAACGGCGGTTTGTGCATGGAAGCCAATATCTTGAAAGTTTTTAGTCCAAAACCTGATTGAACTACCGAAAACCGATTATCACCTTCATTACACAGGAATAATTTTTGGCACAAGCTGCTGCTGTACAATAAAATATTTAATAATTAGCTAGTTTGAGCTTATAAAGAAAATATCAGGATATAAAATTACCCGTACTTAAGAACGATTGAAAAAATTAATTTAAAACAAGTGACTCACTTGAATTAAAACGAGATTCCCAACAATCATGTACCACTGCTGCTTAGACGTATCCATGTGCCCAAGATTGGCTTGTGTAGAGAGTCGTGAGGCCAGGGTCATTTCCAGATTACCCTTCAACCCCAAAAGTGCCGGTACCAGAATCATTAATTCGTTAACACTTTTGAACACCACCCAATGCTGGAAAAGACAGTACAAAAGTTAACATAAAGTACTTGAATGACAAAGAAAAAAAATGGTTGTACTGTAGCCACAAAAATTATTAATAATACTGAAATTAAAAAGCATCTATTATTCCCGTGAATTCATACAAGCGTGTTTTATACATTTGAATCTTCATTAATTAACTATAGCTTGCAAACAAAACCGTCATTGTTGTATGAAATGGATCGAGGGCGCCACTGGCGGGACTTACTTGTACTAAATCGAGGACAAGTCCAGCGCCCACCATTCCAAGACCAGCGATAAGAAAAGGGATGAAAACTTGTATCGTTATTGCTAAGTAGGATTCGCCGGATTCGGCGTCAGCGCCGTATATTTTGCTCTCGGCGACGACGTCGGGTAAACGGCCGCCGCCGTCGCCGCCAGCGTCATCCAGCATCGTCACCTCGACGCAATCCTCAGTCAGATGTGCCGAAGCTGCAGCAGCCCCCGCATTGGATAGGGAGGCTGTGCGCGATCGGCCAGTTGTCGGTGTCATCCTGTGCGAATTCCACTTGCTGTACAGCAGAGGTTCCTTACATTGTGCACCACTGTTGACAAAAATTGTATGTTATTGGTAAAATTTCAAAAATATAAATTCTCAAAAAATATGAATAGGCAACTCGTAAGAAATGAATTTTTTTAAAAATTTTATAACAGTTTCATAACACGTAGAATACATTAAATTGTTTGTGAGAAAAATAATAAACGTTATTAATTTCACACGCAGTCTTAACTCTACGTTTTTCGCTGTTTCAGGGAATTCTTTGTATTTCGCCAAAAATTTGATGTAACGATTATGTCATAATGACGATGATAATTAAAACTTGTGGAATCGTCATTAATTAAATTATTTTTCGCGATGAGCTCTCTTCTTCATCCATATACAAAAATAAAATCTAAAAGCCACGAAAAGTGATTAAAAAAAATGATAAAAGTTCATAAGTACTTAATAAAATTTTAACGACGCACGACAATTATTACACTTTGAAAATATTTCACTCCCGCGAATATCCGATTACTCGTGTCCCACGAATTTCTAACTGAAAAATTTTAAAGCGTACAGCGATTAAAATATACATATAATTATATAGATACAAATTTTCTTTCCATCGTCACTTCCACAATAAATTAACATACTTTTCAAATTTGATGGAACTGCTCGTCTGTAGGATTGGTTGTCTCTCTGACGGCTGCTGTACCGGATGTTGATGTACCTGACCCTCTATCATCTTACTACTGGGGCCCTCGCGCGGCTTGCTGCTACCAATATATAGCCATTGCTCTTTAAGAATGATAAGATTCGCCAAACACACACTAATTCGCCGTCGTTATTTACGAATGCGTAAATAACGCCGATTGCGTAACCTGTCGTAAGGTGTGCGTAAGCTGGTATGAGTGCGAGAAAGAGCGAGAGAGAAAGAGAGAGAAAGGAAAATATAACATTACCGAAGTGGCTTGCGTATCGTCGAAAACTCTTATAAATCTCATCTAAGACAAAAGCAGTACTTGGAATCTGATTGGAGCTCCGCACGCACCACGTGAATTCGTAAGAATAACGAAAGAAATTTTCAAACTCGACGACATTTCAAAAACCGTATCCTCGTTTCATCGACAATACGTAAAACTTACACAATACCTTTAGTCGATGATGATTACATAATTGGGTTCATTGTAAAGTTCAAAAATAAAATCCTTTTATTCATATTCGTTTCCATTACGCAATCCTCGTCCTGCTTGTATCACAATGACAATTATATCATGTCAACGGGTGGATTCAATGATTTTTTTCGTGAACTTTCGGATCATTTATATTTTGAAATTAACTGACAGATGTAAAAATGTTTGAAAATATATTAAGAACAATTTTTTGACACCTAATCGTAAAATTATTGATCCTTAACGTCAGAGCTATTGTCTCGTGGTCCGATAGTTCACATAACCTAACCTTACGTTACCGCGTGGACATCAAAGTACAAGAACACCAGAGTAGCAGAGGGTTACGTTAACACGCGTTTCATCTGTCAATGACACGAGCTAATCTCGGCTACGTACAGTTCTTCAATGTAAGTTGAATGTAATCGATACAGAACACCGATGTCGGCATCTCACATTCGTGATCAAAGACCACCCACGTAAGTTTTATTCACGTTAATAAATAAAAAATAAATTGTCAATCAACTGCACAGCAGAAAATGAAAATAAGTACAAATGGACGTTAACATTTTTCGACCGATTCACAGTGCCTCACTCAGTTTTCAAATTTAACGGAAATTTCGCACGAGTCTTGAGAAAGGGAGCAACAATAAAAGTACACAACAAAACTAAGTGACAGACAACAATGAAATTCAACAGTCAAAAGCTGCATGCCAACAGTCGTGCCATGTGCTTTCCAGTTTTGAGGTTACAGACAGCCGCGAGTATGAACGTACCTGAAAATCCGTTCGGATCAAAAGCAAAGGACTCGATGTCGGTCGAACGTTCCAAATTGTTAACAATTTAAACAGCAAGTTATTCCAGGGTTAGTAGTCGTTCCTGGTACGGTGTGTATGATAGAAATATTGTTAACCAACGTCCAGCATCGGTGGTGGTTTTGGGGAGGCCGCGAGCGAGGCCGTTTCGTTCAAGGGTTACATCGCGACTGATCCCGAAAAGGACGTTAGTACGTCATGTCGACGTTATTGTCGCCAGTTTCACCGCCAGCACCAATGCCACCACTCGCGAACCATCCTCTGTGTCACGTACAACTATAGCAGAACCAGTCCTGGCTGTCCACGAGATGTAGAGCGCGTGTAGGTAAGCGAGCAAGTGCGATTCTATCGATCCGCCATTGTTGGAGAAATACGCACGACCCTCGGCACTCTCGAGACGAGGCTTCGTCCGACGCCCACGTCCTCGATATATATCCCAATCTAACCTCTAATACTTAATACCTGTCTGGGTACGCGAAAAACGTGGCCTGAGAGAAATTCAGTTTTCCGTTTGATTACAGTTCAATGTATATATGTATATATACCCACTGAAATGGAATGAATCGTCGGGATTTTGTGCATCATGGGACATTTGCGTGATCGTCGAGCAAAATGGATATGTTTTTTGCTTTTACATTTCTTACTACACAATGGAACATTGAACAAATTTTTTTTTACGGTTCAACTGGTTTTTGTGATCGTTTATAAATTTGAGTTCATATATGCGACATTGGTAATTGCCTTGTCTTGCTGTAACTATGATATAATTTGGCTCTCGCTTTAAAACTGTCAAGGATTGTTCTTTGATCCTGTATTCAGTTGAAGCTATTTTTGACTGTCTGTGTAATTATTATATTCGTGGGAGAATCGTGCATTTCTCGATTAACTCTGAGACAGTTTGAACCATTAAAAGTGAAGAATGTGCTTGTTTTCGGGATGCACCTCGCTGGAGAAGTAGGTCGATCTATCGTGACGTCACTCTACATATCAAACCCTTTGACCTTACGAAAGCTCCACGAGAATCTAGAACATTATAGTTACGAGGTCGCCTGAATTTTAACATGGACGGAAATGACAACTAGAAGTTAACATTTACCCCTTCAAAATTATACGATAAACAAACTTTTAGAGATCCCAAACTCATTTTTATTTACGCTAAACGCAATAGTTATGTCATTCCGTAAATCAATCAGTTTCAACCCTACAGCAGTTACGTCAGCTTTCGCAACACTAGTACTTGTGTGGGGGGCTGATCTAAAAGACTCTATTTCGTCAATACAACATATTAATAATCGATACAAAAATATTATTTTGCACTGACATTGTTGCTTATAACCATAGCTATGAGAATTAATTTATTTTACCGCTAAAACTCATATTCAATAAATAAATAATATCGTATCAATAATCTTTTAGGCCCCCAACAGAGCGTCGAAGGGTTAAAAAAGACGATCAAAGTGAGAAAAAACTTTTTAATAAAAAACAAGAAAACCACCACAATGGAAGTTGCCATTTAAAAGAAATGCAACTAGTCTACAGGTCTTTCACGTGTTACATCACACTACTATCAGTACCCCAAACATATGTGTATAATATAAACGCATACGACATTCGTGCATGCACAATAATAATTATACAGTCCAGTTGACTCGTATGTGCCTACATGCGTGTTTAGAATGTTTAGTGTATCCTAAAGTGACAATAGCCTATGTGTCAGCATAGATATAAGTAATACCAGTGAAAATACTAGTACTGTAGTAGCCACTACTTGGCTAGTGTCATCCACTCGCCTCTAGTACTACGGCAATTTGTATTCTGGTAACTTCTGGACTAGGTCACATCTATGGAGGCCCACTTTTCTGATTACACGGTTAAACGTTTGCATTTCGCTCGGGCAGCTTCGCTCATTCCGAGATCCAAATTGACCGTGCGACAGAGCAGGTTGGTACGCGTGTACGAAATCATGAAAACGCATTGATTAGCCATAGAATATGATACGAATTGGATTTAACAAAAAAAATAAAAACTCATAGGCGTGTGTGTATATATTTTATTTATCTTTTCTATATCTTAAATAGAGTGACTTCACTGGTGATTATGAACAGGGTTCAGGAAATGGAGGTATAAATTATATATATACGGGTTTCCATTGGCTGTTTCTTAAGGTGTTCATTTTCTGGTGGATTTACCTTATTTCAATTTCTTTTTGAAGTTTCAACTAAATAATAGCTTCTTGTTGATTAGACGGAAGCTGTCGATTGATAATGAGAAGTGAAGCGTAACAAGTGTCTTTAATGGATAATGAAGCTAAAGTCAGTACGCGATGTTAAGTTTGATTCGTAAACGTCACTGATTACGTAAGTCGCTACTACGACGATAAGAGCGCGTTGACTTACGTTAGTAGCGTTAACGTGGCGGTCATTGAAGCTTGTGCCACGGTTACGATGAATTTTCGCGCAGGAAGCTCAGATTAGAGAAACGGAAACCGGCCGCGAGAAATCATGCTATCGTTGCCGTGTGCCGTAGGGCTTTTTAAGCTTCCAAAAGCGCCCGAGCGCCAGTGGTGGCGCGGTTGTGATGGTTTGTGGGTACGTAGTCCATTAGTGGACACTCCTAATATGGAATTACGCGACCCTCTGTCATTATTTTCAGTAATTTTGTTAACGGCCTTGGTAAATTAAAGCTTCTGCTCGTAACAGAATAAATACTATGAAAAAGTGTGTACGCACGGGTTAATACAAAAAAATATAAAAACTCCTCCAACTGATAATTTGCAAAATTATTGAATTTCGCGGTTTTTCTTTAACCAATCGCGGAATTAAATCAACCGCGCCAATTTATTCTTTCACAGTCTCCTATCGGATTAGCGTAAATCTGCTTTATTTAATCTACGCGTCGTTGAAACGTTATTGATTGATTTCATTAGTCTTATCCGATGTTTATAATTGTTTCCTACGACCGGTTCATGATGCAATCGGGATATCCGTTACGTCACGTTACTCGCGAATAAAAAAGTTTACTCGAAGTGATGATTACTAATTGCAATTGAATCGAAATTAAAAAAGACAAGAAAAAATTTCATATTAAACCTTACAAAAATTATTTATTATTTATACGTACGTTTTACATCGACGCTTAGTAATAATATTCGTAACTGCCTCTTTCACGTAATTCTTTCATTCGCAAAGTATACATATATAGATATACAATGAACAGAAACAACAACTGAAACAATGGTCTGTGCACGATTTCAATGATACAATAAAATTCTTCACAAAAATTCATCAACCAACTTGAACCGAACGTATAATTCCACTGATTAAATGAGTTATCAGTCGATAGTCCAATGATTAGAAACATAATTGAATTCGTAAATCGCAACGAGACTCAAGTGTCGATAAGACAATAGGAAAACTATTGTAGCATCGTCGTTGAATAATGTTGTCTTACAACAACTGTTCACAACAACGAACAAGATTTTCCTTCGCCCCCCGAAAGTTCTCTTCGAGAGTCGGTTCACGTAAGTCTCATACGACTGTCGATTACGTAAAGGACACGTATGACCTCGAGGGTATTTAACTTTGACATTGAAATGCCTGAATGGAATTGTGTAACTGGAACACATTCCTCGTATTCAAATCTGCGGCAATTTCCTGGTAATTTAAATTAAAGTGCGCGTACCCACGTGTAACTACTCGGTACTCGTTGTATATATACTTCATACGCGCATACATACGCACGGAGAACACATGTCCGGAAGTCATAGAGGCTCGTTCAAGAAGCCGAAGTCTTAATCGGCCATTTTCTCACTGTACGTCATTCAATGTTTCGCGCACAACCACGTGTGGCCAATTAATGTAATTATTCTTGATTAAATCAGCGTCTCTGCATAATGATACACTTTGTTTTTGATATCCTTTGCGTCAACGTTAACACAATTTTACAGACAAAAAACCCAATTAAGAATGTCGATGTACGTCACAATTTTCACACGGATAAAATTTAAGGTTATGTCCACTTTTTTTTGTGCTCTACAATAATTTTCCACGGAAAACAAGCCATTCAAGGATAGGCATTTTTGCCTTGTTGTTGTTCCTGTTTGCGAGTCTACAACAACAAAGACAAGTTTGTTCTTTGTGCTTGATTTCAAGCTCAATACTTTTGTTCTCGTATTGTCGTATCAGGCTCGATCCGTATTAAAAGAAAGAGTTTAAGAATCTCTTGGGGGGAATTTACAACGGGCGATCGTCGGTATCCGTCGGTAACGATCGAATGGCACACGGTTGATGAGTTAAATGCCTATGAACCGAACGCGGCGCACTCAGAGTTTATGCAGGCTTTGCTTATCTAATTGACATTGTGACAATGTTCAGGGCCGTTTCAGTTGCACATGTCAATGCATACAGTGTGTTTCATTATTGTTCAACATTTGGAATTACTTTGTTCAGTTTGTGACTGTTGAAGTGACAGTCTATGTGCTTTATTACAGTGGACATCGTGTAAGGCGGCAATAATAATTTTGGCGTTGACGATTGTAACGACGAGAACGTCTACGGCGATAACGACGACGAGACATGCGTTACGTAAGTAAATCATGATGCACAAACAACACTGTCAACTTCAATGAGGTTTCTTGACACGTGAAGGGCGATGAGCGATAAAAGTTTTGTCGAAAACGCGATACACGTTGCGTGTACGACAACAGCAACAAGAACAATAACAAAATTGACGATGACGCAACAGCAGTACAAGAACAAAGAAATGTGATTTATAATGCGATTTGAACAAATTAATGGCTGAGGAACGTAAACGTGCTCGATGTATCTTGCGAAACCAAACGTTCTTATCAGGATCGAAGCACGTGCGTCTATTTACGTTGGCAGCGTAATCGTGCAAATGGAGAAATGTGCGTGTGAAATTCGCAAATGAAGAATTTAACGATGAAAACCGTCATTTCGTATGAGACAAAATTAAAGAAGATATACGTGTAAGATATAAGATACAGGTCCAGGAATATATTATATATATATTAATATATTGCACGTAAAGTAATGAACGAAAGTTGATTAATTAGCAAATTTTGAATATCACTCGGTCATCAAAATAACAAGGCGGTTCAATTTACCTATGACGTAGTTTAAGCTGTCCGGACATATTTGCTGCTGTCGATGGACAATTGATAGTTTTATCGGCGGTGTTCACAGAACTAGTAACGAAGCCGTTAAAGGCTTAAGTGTTGTTCACAATCAGCCGTCGGGTGTTATCGAAACTTTCGTTAAGAATGAATTATCGGACGTCACTTGCACCCGATGACGTCACGTCGTTTTTTGCGAAAGTGGAAATTTTTGCGAAGGCTGATATGCAGAATTTATGCTCGCGAACGCGCGTCTCGTACCAAACTCTAGTCTTCGATGATCGAGCTATACTTGGTGTTTGAACATAATTAAAGGAGAAGCGCTCGATTGTCAGTTGTCAAAGAACGTCAGATCTTGAGCAAGTAAGAAAAAATTGTTTTTGTTTGCACAATTGTATGCTGAATCGGCTTGCACGTGTGGCTTGACATATGAGACATATTGATTGACTGTTAAAACAAAGTAAGAAATTGTTTTTTTTTTGAATTTTGAAATTTAAATTTGCACTTTTTTGTCATATTCGACAAATGCCTTTGAGGGAAATACAAATAATGATAACGATTATCTGAGACAACTGTACATAACTGTTAGTTGAGTCAAGGATTTTAGTAAAGATTTTATTTGCTTTAATTAAGCTCTGGGAATTATATTCTATCTATTCAATAAGTCTGTTAATCCTTACGCGTACCGAGATATCATTATCTGTGTACAAAAATAATCCTCTTTCAAAAATAGCACAGTTCTCATTCGCGTATTTATATTTGATCTGGATAAAGATTAAATAGTGAAGATATATATATATATATATATATATATATTAGTATTAAAGACTTACGTAGACCGAACGCTAGTCAGCTGTAGCAGGATTTCCTCGGGCGGTGAGGCTTCATGTTGCCCGAGAAAAATGTCACCGGTCACCTCCGTGTTTTACGCGTAAACGTAACAACTTGTTCGAATGTACAAGCGCGATAAAAAAAGAAAAATTATTGCACAAACAAACACTATGCACAATTTGTGTCGCGTATGAAAAATCAAAGTCTTTGCGCACCGTCGAACAGCGCGATGCCTACGTCTCGGCAATTTGTGTCGAAAAAGTTTTCATCCTCGAACGAACATTGCCGTTTGAATTATTCGAGTGTTTTTGCACAAACAATATTTTATGATTATTATTATGCATAGATCAGTAATAAAAATGATTATCGATATTATTCATAAATTTTTTTATTTTCTATTAATAAATTACTTTTTGTATTAATAATAAAATTTATATTTAATTATTATATTCCATCAAAGATCGATCGCCTTCTTCCGAGATACATATATTTACGATTGGGCAAATTTATAATTAAAAATTTAACGCGCAGACAAACTTCGTTCACAAGCGACGATTCCTTACTAAGATTCATAGCGAAGTACGGTACATCACCAGGCCGTGAAAAATAATTGTAAAAATTTTTACATATTTCAAACTTCAAACTTGTCGATACGTCAAAAATATAATAAAAAGCTCAAAATATTATTTTCAATATTTTACGTCAATGTCAGAAACACGGAAGTTTCCGGCGAGCTCTCAAACTTTGGCAGCCGATCGCGACGACGTTAAATCTAACGGGATGCCAGTCAGGTTTATTATTAAGTCGTGCAACTGGTCCTTCCAATTGTTATTGCTGTTGCGCAAAATGCAAGCACTTTTTTTCCCTCAATCTTCTCGATTTCAATAGGAAATCAAATGCTCAAAGCAATTCGTCACAGAATTGATCATAGGTGTCAAAGTCGAGATCGTAACAAGATCGCTGAGCAGTCCGCCGCGAGCACAGGGATTCTTGCCACTGACAGATCTAACTATTTCATTCACAGTTGCGTCGTGTGGTTTGATCGCCGCACCACTCTGCACACACGGAGACCACACGTCAATGGCGAAGAGTTGGCGTGTGTGAATAACGGGTGGAGCCAAGAGGTGGAAACTTATCCTTATAGCCATATAGAAGATGCAGGGATTATTAGTACAGTGCCAAAAGTTACTGATCTCCATTCCTTGACCATTATGATTATTCAAAATGACACACCGCCTTCGTTATTCTAATGCTTTACTAATTGGTAATTAGACTGGTCATATAACGCAACGTCCCTTTGAACGATTTTTGAAAGAAAAAATTAATATCTTGGAGTTACGCCAGAACTAAATTTACACAAAATTGAATACTACAAATTTATTATTAGCATCAGAGAATAAAATTAATACAATTAAGAATTGTGTGCAATTACAATTTGGTTTACATTCCATGTGTCTAATTGAATTAACAATATTGACCCTGTACAGTTTACTTATGACACTGTGCTAATTAAAAACTTGACTTGATTCAAGTAGATCATAAAAGTAGAGTGCAGTTGTCAGTTGGGAAAGTATATATTTCTGTCGCAAGATACAGTTGACTTATCAAAGAAAGGTAAGTCCTGAAAATTTCATTTTCCAAAAATTTTCACTAGATACAATATAATTTTGTGACTGCAAAAAAAAGGCCTGTGCAAGTCCTATACAATTCCGAGTATGTAATACATAATACGCATAAATAGCCAGATAGCTCCAGCAACCCTAACACGTATGCTTAAAATGATTTCTCTATTAAACAGTTGAACGACGATTGTGTATAATAATGGTGGCAGAAGAGATAGCGATCTGTCGCGCATTTATCATGATATATCGTCCGCAGACATGCGTCACATCGTCACGTTGCATACAAGCACATAGGTACACATGTGACGGGGCATCTACCTTGCACGTATAAAGTAACCATGTGTTCCAATGTTCACGTGTGATGATAGGTAATGATCAACGTGTTCATACGCCTATGTATCTATGAGTTAAACATAGATGGCATAGGTCGATTCCACTCGGTGTCAACAAAGACATCAGATAATATCTCTCAGACCTATTGATAACATCTGATACGGATCCTCTAACGTCTTCCTCGTGGGTCAATGGAGTCTGTGTTGCAGCTGTGACGTACGCTGTGGATGCTCCTTTAGGAATTGCAGAGACCTTTTGACATCTGTATACCATCGAGCATTTGTCGTTAGAAATCTTGATTATTGTTGTGGTTCGTCAGCACAGATGTCGTTGTTGAATCGTGGGCGTTGAAGACCTAAAAATTTTCACAGAAATTATCGTCAATTGTACATTTTGCTGGTGGCAATTTATATTGATCTTTAAAGGTAAATTATATCTGTGCGAAACAACTTACTGCACGTGGATGGTGACTGTGCTGGGAAATGGCGCCTAAACGTCATGATAAAAATTGACAGCGTTTTCTGTATGTCGGAAATGTGCGGCGAGGTCAAAGGGTGGCTCCAGGGTGGATCGCAATACTAAAACGGTTTAAGCGACTAATGGGAATTTGTGCTTAGTCAACCGCCAGGAAGAAACTACTTAACAAATTGAGACAGAGAGAGGAAAACACCGTCTTCGCACAAAATACGTCGTCCTTATTTCAAACGCCGACCGGAAGCTGCGTGAACTTGTCCTACTGTCGATAAAATGGAAACGTATTTCAAATAGGTATAAGGCAGTTCAATGATATCGTAGGAAACGAAACAACGTGGCATTCGCAAATTTTTGTAAATTGTTCAATGTAATTTTGTGTGATATTTGTCAATACAAAGTCGTTTAAATATTATTCAGTATTAATCAGTTGATACAAAACTCAATGGAAGATTGCATTGCATAGAATCGTGCCGTACAGATTTTGCACTGCTCGAGTAATTGATTAGTAAATTGGTTAAAGTAGGGCGACTAGACGCCCTTGAACAACGATTTGCGACATGCAATTGTTATGCACTTGTCAACGTTTTTTGTGCACAATCCTCGGCATGATATGCCGAATGGTTAAATCGGTCTGATGAATGTTCACAGCTATTTTATGAATTTATCGACTGTTCGTTATCTGTTATTAACAATTTTTAAAATAAAAATCGCAGGGTAAATAAATTTATAATACAAATAAGTTTACTGTAATGTATTCACATGGTATATACAATCAGGACAAGGTTCTTTTTGAAAATATATACATATATCGCTCGGTGTTATCGTTTCTTAGTGATTTTTAAAATCATTTTTTAAGGATCACATGAGGACCGAGGACATATAAACGTGTGCATTGTTACTTAAGATTAAAGTATAACTAGGTAATGGCATAATTATATACTGGCATGATAGTCTGTTAATCAACTTAAAGTCATCGCTTACAAACGACCCAAGTCTCAAAACGAAACGGAGCAGATTTTTACAATTGCTAATGAACTATCGTATAGTTTTGTTAGTAATTAAAGTTAATTATTTTATAAAATCATTGAGTTCGTAAAGCTTTTTAAGAACCTTAAAGATTTCAGGTAAATATTTTCATTTCTGTCGAACAGATTCCTCTTAAGAAAAGGATTTTTATTTTAATATCGAACTGAAACTATTTTAATTATTTGCCAGTTACTTTTTAACTTTACCTAACTAATTAATTAGAAATACCTGCAACAGCTTCTTACTAAATTATTCAGAGTTAAAAGTATAATAAATTATATATTATATGTTGACGTTATATATAAACTGTATTGAATTTTGAAAATTATCCTGCATCAATTTAACCCTTGTTTCCTACTGTTGGGTCTGAGAGACCCGACGAATGTGCGAAACACAGTAAATGTTTGAAAGCAGTAAAGGATTAAAACTTAACATAAATAGTGGGATTGCTTTAAATGTAGTTTCGAGCTTCCATTCAGTGGCATAGTCAATTCGGAATGCTTAAGCATCCGCGCCATATAAATTTAAGTAGAGAGACAGCACAGGATAGGACAACATTTAAATAGCATACAGTGTAAAAAAATATTTATAGTAATACTAGAGTGATTGATTATTAATTTTCAAGCATATCAAATGAATCATTCGAATGTCTATTTCTTTATATGTGCTTGCGAAGATTATACAATTCCCTTTTATAATTTTTTAAAAATTTCTTCTACTGTACAAACAGCCAAATATATAATGACATGATGGCAAATACGTACACTTGTGACATAGTATCCACCTGCCAGTTGACTCTCTAAGAGAGCATAAGCCAAAAAGAAACAAGACGAAGAAAAAGACATAGCATCCGTTTCGTATTGAACTATGATAATTGACGTTGTCAATAATTAAGGGTAATATTATATAAATATATTCAACAATTCTTTCCAAATGCATGGATTCAGGCGATGCAATCAAACTAGCTGCCGCCATCCAGTAACACAGAATCAACAAGAAAAACAATATGACTGAACATTCGATTAATTCAATATAGAAGCTAAATTGTTCCCAAATTTGAGTTAACGTATTTACACTAGCTTTTGAGGTACCGTGTAGTAACGGAACCAGAACTTCACGTTCAAAGGCCACAGATTCTCTTAGAGATTGAGAACCAAATGTAAAAAAATGTCTATACTTTCCCTCCCATCCCCCACTCGTAGTATAGTCCATGAAAGTTAATGGATTACTCTTATCTTTGTAATGCACAATTTTGATTCACAGTACTACACACTTTTGATAATTGGACACAATGTCACATACAGGTCAGTTTGCGAATGGCACACTACAGTTTTTAATTCAATGAGCACAGTCATGAAACTTTCATTTGAATTTCCAATTTTCATAAACAGGCGCCAGTTTCTTCTACGAATTTCTAATATTGGTAATAAAATAGACGCTCATCGGACATTCTCATTTTGTTATTCTAACGTTTCGATGTCAATAAGATACTAATGTCAGGGATTTAGTCTCCCACATCAGAGTCACCATCACCAATGGCGTAAAGTATGTGGAAAGCAATTCCAAGAAGAGCGGTACCTAATAGATCACCTGCAGCTGTCAAATAAGGAATTGCTGAACTATCCGGATCCATTCCGCGACTCCACATCCACACTACCATTAACTGAGCAATGTACAGCAACAACACGACCTGGAAGTATACGATAAAGGAAAATGAAGTACAAGGTTCGATTAACTTTGGGAAGATGTTTCAATAAAATATCCGTTTTTTTTTCGTTAACACAAAAAAAAATGAAATGACAATCAGAATGATTACATGGGTATATCTATCTTCTTACAGATCATGGCTAGTCAAAGGACCGGTAAATAAATAAAAGACACTTACCTGCAAAAGTGCAGCGGTCAAATAAATCGTAATAAATATTGGCGTGAACGACGTGTGGCCGGCTTGTAAATAACTGATTGTATAGTTGAAGATTAGGTGACCAGGAATCACCATCAACAGAAGTACTCTTGCAGTCCTTGAGTGTCCGCCTTATAGAGGCAGAACGAAGAGATTAATAAAAATACGGAAGAATCATTTATCTAAGTGCAAGAATCATAATAATGAACAATATTGTCTATAATTATTGACTGGTATTGTCAGATACACACCTGGCGCTAAAAATGCATGGAAAGGACTGATGCAAATGGTAGGAGATTCCTCGAACCCAAGTCGTCGTTCTTTATGCAACGACGTAGAAATTCGACTGGCCTGTACAGCAACAAGATTTCCACCAACGCCATTAATGACTAATTGAAAGACTGCTATACCTTTGTAACTTGATATAGTATAATCAAGTATCAACCCACCGATACTAAAATGGCAAAGGACAATAGCTTAAAAATTCATTGAGGAAAGTTGAGACTTCTGAATGTCTATAACTTTTGCAATATAGTTATAGAACCGTATGCAATTATCAAGTCGCACCTGCTAATTAGCATTGCCGATATCACAGGCGTCCAACCGTAATCAAGTACTTCCTTGGTAAATGGATTTCTAGCGGCAATGTAACCCCAAAATGGCGTAGCCAAAACGCAAAAAATTATAATCATCGGGGATATCCATGGCGAGTGGTCTGTAAAAAAATAAGAACAACATGATGAGTGCTATTATTATGAGTAATTCTTAATAATATCTTAGATATACAATCTGTAATCACCTATGGCGTTATAGAGAAGAGACGCGATCCAGGAGAGTAGAGCCAGCGTCGTCAGATCACCAAGGGATGCTGCGATAGGGGTAGCTACGTTGTCAGGATTAATGTTCATCCGCCTCGAGAGCAAAATAACGGCAACCATAACAAGGCCGAGCAAGAAACTAGCAACGGAAGCTGTGAGTAGTGCACTGGCACACAAAAGAAGTCCGTGATGGATGTCAAAGTGGGCTTCTGGTACCCAGCCAAGGATAACAGCAGCCAGAGAAGCCAGCATTCCCACAACCATGGCCTGACATTGGATCAGTGCAAGATTTCCTACGATGAGTGTCCATTGCTGATTCTTTGTATCCATATGACCCAGATTGGCTTGTGTCGACAGCCTAGAGGCCAAGGTCATTTCCAGATTGCCCTTTAAGCCCAATAAAGCTGGTACCAAAATGTATACTTCAGATACCACTCGATACACTGACCAATGCTGAAAGAAAAATATGATAAGTACTTGTGATGGTTAAACAAAGCAATAATTTAATAATTAAATTGAGTCTTGACATGATATTTTCATGGTCACTGGAGGCATTGACATTAGATTGTAGAAACATTAAAAAAGTTATCTCTTAAAGATAAGGCGAATAACAGACTGATATAGAGAAAGTATACACAAATTATGTACAGTTACCAACCTGTACAACATCAAGCAACAGGCTGGCTGCGACCATTCCAAAACCAGCCAATAAAAACGGTATAAACATTTGTATGGTAATAGACCAGACATTCTCATCTCGCTTGTCTTCCGTTTGATTCTGATCGATGATTTTTTTGCTATTGTTATTGATGCCTTGAATGGAAGCATTTGACTCTACAGATGGTATCAGTCGACGGGTGTCCTCATCGATGTTCTCATCATCAGAGTCAATGTCAAGTTCCGTCGTGATATCCTGAAGGTTCCGGCCGAAGACTTCCTCGCTTCCTGAACCCACCATTTCACCACTCCCGTTAGCGAGGGATGCGCTCCCGTATTTTCTATGACGTATCCTACTGTTTCCCCAGGAGTCTGATTGCCGGAACTCAGCATGGCTCATTCTCGTTCAGTATACGTATGCACTTGTAGATCAGTACGAAGCACTGCGAAAAGAGATAAATTGGACGTTTGCTTATAATTCGTCATAATAAAGATTAGTGGTACATTTTTTATTGGCTTCTGTCTTGCTTTCTCTTTTATAACATTAACTTTAAAATACGACAAAAAAGACAAGTTACACTTGAATACGTAAAAATACACCATTTTTTTTTGTCAACGAGAGACACGAGCCAATAAACGGGAAATAAATTTTAATTACCGTTGATTGATTATGGCGATACAGAAATTTGAATAATGACAGGTAAGCGTTTGCAAAATCGAAAAGATCGATTTGCGAAAAGAACTGTTAAATTTATACGTACGACTATGAAGCAAATGGCGCAGCACTTTTATCAGTTTCAGGGTATTAATGCGATAACGCTAAGCAACCTGGCTGGTAGATATAAAGCAGCGAAAAAGAAAATAGCAGTGAATAGATAATTGCGGACAGTCGCACCTTGCAGGTGCACCTTCAGTCTCTCAACTGCAGCTCATTTAATAATAGACGTGCCGTTTAATTCGATGCTCGCGGAGTTGCCAAAAGAATTTTTTTTATTCTGTCTCTCTCTCGACTGAAACATTTACATGGTACACGATATTTTCACAAATCTTATTACCATGGAACATTCTGACATAACATATTTTTGGGGGAATTTGTGCGCTTGTTTCCTTTTTCAAAATTGTTGACTACGTTGTTGATACGCGACCAGTGTGATACAATGACAACTTGCTGTTAGTAGTAAGAAGCTGTTTGTTAATAAACAACCAATTTAAAAAGGTGCCTCAAACATTTGGAATGCATACAACAATTAGGAACAGCATACAAAACTTATTGTTATTGTTTAATCGTTTCATTTAGGGAACTTTTGGAGAATGGATGTTCAATAGATAAATAATCATGCATAATGTTTTGTTATAAAAAGCAAAAGCCACTACCGGATGTGTTGCCCTAGATTGTGACGAATACGAGCGATTGTTTCAATGATTTGTCAAACGATTGTTCATTGTTTTTAGCGAGAACATACAATGCGACTACAGAAAGAGATCATGTAACTATTGCAATAAGACACAGAAGCACAACATTTTTGTTGTTGCTGCAACAAACTTTTTTTTTCCAATGCAAATTGCACTCACCATTTTGTTATCGCGATCCTGCATGATCACAATCTGAATAAACAAGAAATATTATAAAATTATATTGAGACACTGACACGTCCAGTGATGATCGTGAAGATCAATTATTGACGATTCTTCTTTTTTAATTTTAATTCAACGGTTTTAGGGATCAGAAAAATTTATCTGATGTGACAAATAAATAACGTTGTTGTGTATGTACAGTATTAATGGCACCATTATATTATGTATATAGGAAATTATGATGTTTTGTATAATAACGTCACAGTGTATCTAATCGATACAGAATATAATAATTAATTACACAGCGACCGAATATTCTACGTACTATATTCGAACTGATGTACTAGTGAACGATGGCGGCACTAATGACTTCTATCTTATCCTTGTTGGAGTCAATGAGGACGAAAACGTGTCATGGACAGAAGGTTATTAAATCTACATATGTATATACAAGGCAGTGGAATCGTTAAATTTATAATTTCGTTTCACATATGTTATACAGGAATTGCCACTTGATACTATTTAGTTAACGTCATCGTTATACCATACCACTGAACATTTTTTAAAATCATTATTGCAACATTGGTCCAAAGTTTCATTATGAGCTGATTGATTTGCCACGTTGTGTCAATATTCTCAGCTGCTTATCAGCATGTCAGCTGCTTATTGTAAACAGCCTAAGTTCTCATTTTTAATTTTATTAAGTCAGAAATTTTGAGAAGAAGTTAATGTCGGTTCCAGACATGTTTTGTTTAAAAAATTAAAGATGTAGGTTTTGACACTTATATGGAATTTGGTGAGAGCTGTTGATGCATTAGTGGTTTTCTTCTTTTATGTTTGTTTTTGTTTTAAAGACTGTTAAGTAACAGATACTCTGTACATTATTAATTGGATGAACGCAAAAATAAATCAAATAAGCATTATCAATGAAACTGTGCATTAAATATAAAATAAAATGGACATAATTGAGTTAAAGATTAATATTCATTAAGAATTAAAGCTTACTATTATTGTTGAATATTATACAGCTTGAGTCTACAAATCAGATATTAACAGTGATCTTCGAAAGAACATTTCGACAACTATTTATACCAGGAGTAACTACGATTGTAGCACATAGATGTATTCTCTTCCTTAATATCGTATATCTTCAATCCTTGTTACACATTATGAGTATACTATTCAATGGACAACTTCTAATATCTAATCTATACTGATAAAATAAATTTGGTGTTAAATCATTTATTGCCTTATTAGATATGCATTCCTAAGTGCTCTACATTATATGTCATATAAAAAAAATATCAAGAATACATTACAAACTCAAAGCAGAGAAATACTATCAGAAATAAACTTCTCCAAAAAATTGAGTACATCAATCATATTATAAATTACACTCAACTCACAATCATGAGATGATAACGAAAGCCTACTTAAAGTAAACTCAAGTATTAATCATCACATAAACGTCAAAAAAAATAAAACTTATTTATCATGAACTAATATTTCTTGACGTCATCCTACGGATAAAGAATAAAACGTAAAATCTCTAAAACACGAATGTCTGGTTATGTTCATTGAATTGACACACGACATAACCTCGAAATCTATTAGACTTACCTTAATTCAACCAGAATACGTTTTTCCATAATACGTAAACCCAATCTTGTGTACAACAATAAATAATCTTTCTTAAGATTTCCTCGTTTTGCGTGACTTGTACGTAAATTCACACTTTTCAACGATTTCCACGTCGCTTACCGGAGCGAAATGAATTCAAGCGAAACAGCACTCGTGGCATCTGCGGCCACCGCGGAGCCACTGCGATATCGACTACTACCTATCACAATTAAAAAGCAATATGAATTGGAAAGAATAATAAACCCCACCACCACTGGCAAGCGCACTCATTGTTACTAAACTTTCCGGATTAGCTCATGTTTCTCCTTATCCTTTGGTAGCTTTATATCCTCGTGGGAAATAACGTATAAAAGTTATTACGTATAAAGTCCCAACACATTTTAATACGATTTTCTACCACCTTGCGTACGATATTGCACTCTGACTCTTTATCTGTAGGATACACGTTACAAACTGAAATTATAAATTATTAAAATTTCTTATTTGTTTAAACTGAAATTATTAAAGCAAGCACTAAGGATCGTTAAATCGCTTAATCTAACCATTTCGGGATGCTTTTTCACTGCCTTTATTTAAACTTCAACACCAAACCACACGGCGGATAGAATGTAAATGCATTCTTAAACGATGATAAAGTGATAACTTTATGCTGGGTTATCGCATTGCTATTGACATTCGGAAATTATGAAATGATTTCTTTTGAATGCCTATCGATTCAATACGTAGAATAATACGTCAAAGTACAGAAACATCGTTACGTACTTTCTGCTTCTTCAACAATGGCCGATGAGTGTTTGATTTTTCGCCGAGCTGTGGCGGTTTAATTTCAAAACAACTATTCATATTTCCAGAAACAAGTAGCAGTTTTTTAAAATGGTCAAAGCATCCTATTCAATATTTCCTTGAGCATTAAATTAGAAAAGTTTTCATCAATTTTAAATTGGAAATTAGAGGTGCATGGTTTTGACTCACTTTTAGAAATTAAGTATGAGCGAAAATCGATCGATGTCATAATCAAAAGATAAGATTATTTTCAGTCAAGTTTTTCAATTACAATTAAGCAGATATTACTGCCAGATCTCATGGCTAGAAATACCTCATATTAGGTTGGCCAAGTGGCCCCAGGCAATATGGGCATTGTGCCCGGCCAAACCATTTTCGTTCGAGTTAGTGCGCATGTGAGATACGCCATTTTTCTTTTTATTTTCTTTCTGCGACGACCGAAGAGAATCAAACTCCATATAATTGAGTTCTGACTCTCGAGTAACTCGGTACCTCCTCGGTGGTACGAACATTTAAACAATTTCATTTTATTTGGTTACACCATTTTCTTTAACATTACATTGTTTTGCTGTCTTCTTATTGAGCCACGCTTTACGAGGTAATTGTCATGTACCAGATTTCTGGCTTTTCATTCTTTTCGAAAAGTCTCAGCATCCCACAAAAGCGACTCGCTGGGATTCCATTTTTTCCAAGTGTTAAAATAATTTTTTGTATGTATTACAAAAACCTCGCACAAGAGCGATTAAATGTTTACATTGCAACCCTTGACAATTTATTAATTAAATTGCTCATACAAAAATCTGTATCGTTACGAAACTACGTTGCCAGTAAGCATTCGTCTTTAATTTTCCACTGTATTCGGCTACGTAACAATAGTGAGAGGAACATTTTTCAAAAACTTAGACACTAAGTGTCGTTTTAAAAATAATAAAACCAGTGATGATATCAATTTATTTAGACGTCTATCGTCGAGACGTAACATTTTTTCAAAGAAAATTGTAACATTCTTTGAGAACTGACGTCCTCATTATGTCTGCGTTATTTGTCAAAAGCCAATTGCCGCTTACGTATGCTTATGGGTAAGATATACGTACGTCACCATTATATCACATATCTATTTATATTTTTGACAAAGTCCACGTGCTGTTCAATCAGTTTGTTCTCATAGATTTTAAATTTTAGATTGGAAATAATTATAGCCTGACATAGATACACGTGTACCGATTTCTATAAATTAACGTTTTTGGCATTTGGCTTTGATCGAAATGTTCCTTATCCATTTTTAAAACTCTACTCTCCATTGTAGGAGTAAGTTTCCATTTTTGAAAATTCTACTGATCGATCGTATCGATAAGAGACGAATGAAGTGAAAGTTGGAAAAAGACTTTTTATAAAATTAAATAATAATCAAACGAATTAAATTAACAATGATAGTTTATCAGCGTCTAATTTAAAGTGTATTCAAAGTCAGTGCGAAATGTCGCCAGCGATAGAACCAACCCTATTTTCGTCACCTGCATCTTCTTGTTGCATTCCGTCACATCGATGTGGATGTGATACTCTGTGACCAACGTGTATTGAGATTGGACGATTTTAGTATTAAAGTTCACAGTGATTCGAAATGTGGTTAAGTAGCGATAAGAGACTTGAGAAAAATTTTGTCGTATCAAATAAATTACGTAAGAAATTCTGATGCGTTAATTTCTGTCTACTAATTTGTATTTGATTTTTTCCGCCATTTAGGTAGTTGCATCATGGGTCGTCGTAAGCAGCATGGTGAAAAATCAAGAGTTGTGGAAGACAAGAATTCTGCATCAATGAAAATCATAAATCAGTCTGCTCTCGGGATAAGGTCACTTTCTTCGTTACCGATCGACGTTATGTCTCGAATTTCATATCCGTTTGTAAAATCTTTCGAAAAATACGGAACTATTAACGACGTGCAGGAAGATACAATTGAATTTGACTATCAGCCGAGATTTGTATTCTCGTGCAATTCCTGTCTGTGCTGCATGAAAAGTTGCAGCGACGGAATCGTGTGCCAATTTTGTCAGATGGTTGTTTATTGTACGGAGAAGCATAAGAAGGAAAACTTGAAAAAGCACGAAGAAATTTGTAAAATATTTACGGAAGTGTGTATAAAAAATGGTGGTCTTTCATTGGCGGAAAACACGAGGGGAGATGATTACAGAATTTTACGAGTAAAATTGATTGAAAAAATTCAAAATTCAGCAAGACGCCCGTTGAGTCTTTGGGAAAAGGAAATTATATTGTATCCGAGAGTTTGTGCAAAGTGTCATCGTTTTGGAAATGACTTAAAGCCTTGTTCACATTGCGAAATGGTACTTCATTGTGCAGGGCACGAGAACGAACATTTAAAATGGTGTCCCGAGTACAGACTGTATCAAAAGATACTATCCATGCAATACAAACACGGCAACGTAAATCCTGACATTCCTAACGTGATTTGCGAAGACTCAAAAATTTTACCAAACAATTTTGATTCTTTTATTTTTGAAATTTACTCCTCGTCCTTGTATTATCGTATTATGGATTGTTACACGTATGCCACTTTGTCACACGTGAGCACAGTACCGTTAACCTCACTTTACGCTTTTCAAAAATCCCGCGCTAATTGGTCGACCAATGACAGCTGCACGATACACGTGGTAGGCGCGGAGTTTCAATTCGAAGGATTAAATCTGCACGTGTGGGAAAAGCTTTTTATGCATCTACAGCCAAATTTGAAAAGTCTTCACATAGTACTCACGGGTCCAGAACTTTACGTACCGGATGTGCCTTTGGATCTTCTTGGCAAAGTTCCACTGTGCAGTAGATGCAGAAAGTCCAGTCGTAAAATTAAAGTTTCCTATGTATCACGTAAACTTTATCACGAATATTGTAGAACGTCCGACGATTATGTCAAACCGGATTTAATTTGTCTGTTTAATCCTGGATTGTATCGCCTCACTGGTTATAACGGAACTGACACGTGGCCGGAAACTATTCGAGAAGCTTGCAATTCAACAGCTCCTATAGTTGTCACGGCTTATACGGAACACGAAATTCCTCGAGATATCGAAAGAATTCAATCGATTTGTGACATGTCGTTTATTTTGAAACCACAGAGGAATCCATATGCCAGTTTAAAACCGGACAGGAATTTCGTGAGTGACGATACCGTACCACTTATTTATAAAAATTATTATATCAGTATTGTTAAGAAATGTTTATAAGTCAAGTATTGATTTCCCCCGGCATAATAAACTTACCTGCGAATGTAGAGAATTTGAAAAAGAAATAATTTTTATGGGTTTGACTTATGTTTAATTTGATATATAAATATTACAACATTTGTCTCTACGTTTAATAATTATTTACATAACATTTTTATTAATGCAGTAAACGTCTTGCCGGTGGGGAGTCATAAAAATGGTAAAATAGTTATTTCCGAAAAATAGTTGCAACAATTTACAATCTCTTTACGCGTTTGCTTGAAGGAAATACTGTCCGACTTGATGGACTTGTTAGGTTATCAATATAAATATTATTACAGCTAAGGGCAATTTTTCAGGACAATTAAAATGCACGAGTGAAAGAGCAGTGAGTAAATTTGTTAAAAAATGAATTTTTCAGAGTTTTATACAGCAAACCTGAAGTATAACTTGTATTAAATATTAACTAATTAAAAATCCTTTGCATTTTATGAAACAAATCTTGATTGCGACTGTACATAAATAAAAATTCTTATCTTACTCCGTGAATTACTATCTTTGAATTTGTTCTAACAAAAAACAAAATAAAGCAGCGTTTATCGCGCTCGACGCGCCATCTATCCGTCTGTTTCACAATACGACTCAGTGAGTGCAAGTCGATCGATAAAACAGATCTTGGCACTAATTTACGATAAAATTGCTACGATTGTACTATAAAGGTTCGAAGAACAAACTTATCAACGATTCGTCAGTCCCAGTAGCGTAATAAACACAAGAACAATTATACAAGATGGAGTTGTCATTGCAGCTGGACTCGAAAGTTCGTAAAAGTATCGATGATAAGCCTTATCACAATGGGACGGCCAATTCTTGAGGCAGGCCGCATACGCAATCACGTGAGCAATGTAATTCTGTTCGAAGGTACCACGAAACAGGTGTGAATATGGCCCTGGCACAAAAAAAGAACAAAGACATCATTACCTTGACAGTTCCAATCTTATTAATTATTTAAAACAATCATCAATCCATACCTATAGCATAAACGGCTACGTCTTCGCCACCATGTGTTTCGTCCTTCATATAAAAACCAGCAAAATTCCTGTAATACGGATCTTCGTCACGGTTAGGAATTTTCTCGATCGGCCGCCAGATGTCGTTAACGTTGCTACTGTCGTTGTTGAGATGATAGAAGAAACCAGGACCATTGGCGTAAGTCAGGGTCTCGTACGGTGGTACATTTTTCTCATTTAAATTCGTCGTGTAACCAAGAATGTCGTTACCCCTCGCAGGATAACCGTTCATCGTGAAACTGTGTGAATGATCAGCTGTCACAATTATCAGAGTCTCGTCGAGTCTGACCTGTTGAAGAGCCACCAGTACTGCCTCCTCCAGTTCAGAAACCTCGCGAAGTGCGAGTTTTGCGTAATTATAATGATGCGCTATATCGATCTTTCCGCTCTCCACCTGAAATTCGATGTCTCGTATGAATTGGACCTATGGATTTACATATTTCGGAGAAATAAGAGGTTGGAATTTTTTCTTTCTTTTTTTCCCATAGTTTCAAGTCCCACGTTAGACCTGCATGATTGTAGGTACTTTTCATGTGTAACATTATGCTCGGCTCATACACGACGGATAATTAAGAAATTAAGGATGTCAGTTGTAGATATTATATGAAGTTGCTTCTACCATTACGGATGTAAAGTGGACAAGATGGCTAATCCTGATGAGCATCCGGCCAATTAAAATTTCAAGGTTATTCCTTAACTGGTGTTGTGAAAAAAATAAAGTTCCGTTCATAACGTAACCATGCGACATGGGTCCCAGAGACCCACGGCATCGGGTGAGGGTTAACTCGGATATTGAAAAGAATTGTTTCCACCAATTTTTATAGAAGTACAAAGTGTACCTCTTGTCAAAGGTTCGTGACAGGTAAATTTTATTCTTACCATGAGTAGAAATCCATTTTTGTTTTTTCGCAATAATCTTATCGCTTGCAGCGTCATGTTAGCCAATGTCGGTGTTCCTTCGGGACTCGTATCTCTGACAGCATGAAAAGGCATGTGACTAGGTGCAAAGATTCCCATGATCTTAGAAGTGTTGGCGATGTCAAGGGTCATGAGGTCGCGGGTATTCGTGACGACTTTACCATCAGGATTATTATTTTTCCATATTTCTGCCAAATTCACGCCATCGCTTCTGACGCAAGTTTCAGATTGATTTCTTTGGTAGATAGGTAAACCCATGTTTTGTCCACCGCCACCCATGATGACCTGGTAACAATTTTTTTTTTACTTAGCAAATAGTCAAAAACAGCGTCTATCAGCTACCTTTATAAGGCTAGCGATATGCTGGTATATGAAAATTGTTGATTATTAGTATTTAGCAAAGAAAATTTCTGTCGTGAATTAATATAAAAAAAATTGAATTAATAACACTTTTGTCGACTCAACAATTTTCCTCCCATCGACACAAAGTCTTTGTGCCATAAATATCATTATAACGGGATGCGTTTGGGAAGGAGTCAACTACTCTGGCTTGAATGACATCATTGTGCCCAATTGAAAGGGCCGGATATACTGGGAGAGCTGACATAAAAAAAAGGGCCATCGTTCAATTAGCCTTGAACTTTTATTCCCAGATTTATTGACTGGCCCAAAGGAATGAATGTTTTACCTAATTGAATTTCTTAATAGCAATTTAGGAATGATTGTCAATCATTTCTTATCCATCGTTAGACAATGCAATATCGCGGTTATGCAAATTCAAAGGTAATTGCTCCAGTTACTAATTAGTATTGTTATCACGTATGAAAGCTTTGTTGCTATCTGCATCATTTAACTGGTGTTACATATCGGGTGACTCAAAACAAAAGGCCATATAAGCATAGGGCTTTTAGCACACGTACATCATTTTGCTTTTAGTCAGGTGATACGTGACTATCGATTCACGTATGTGTCTGGTGATGTAATAATTATTGATAAATTAAAAAAAAATAATTTTTTTACTCACTTTCAAATTATTACCAGGTGCATCTTCCACCAATTGCCTTGCAATGTCCTTTGCGCAATTTTTGTACTTTTCTGGAATTGACGTGTCGCATTCCCAGTCTCTATTGTTTGTATGTGCATACAATGCGCCTGGAGTTGCATGGGTGATACGTGTTGTGGTCACAAAACCTGAAAAATAAATTTTCTCATTACCTGCACGTAATTGAACGTCAGTTCTGAAAGAATGAATTTTGTGATTTTTTTCTTTGTAAAAAAAATCCTCTTATTCCATGCATCTTATAATATATGCAAAATGCAGCGCAATAAATTATTCAATATAATTTGTGTCCTGTGCGAAAAAAATATATTCCTTCAAATGTCAAGTAACGAAGTTTGCTCGATTATACGTGACGCAATGACTAAACTGTGACAATAACGGGGAGATAATAAAAGTTATATAAACGTTCGATTTTGGATTTTGCAATCGTTCGCGAAATTCGAATTACAAAATCCGATATCAATCTAATCTTACTGCGATAAATTGGCGAATTTTTTTTTGACTTTCTAACACATATATGTCGCATGCAAGCTACTTTTTTTTCATAACCCAATTGAAATCATATCCAGGCTAACAATTCAGGAAGTTTAGAAAGTTGATTGCCTTTAGATTGTACGGTCATCGGGGCGAATGATAAAATTTCAAAATAAAAATCTCTCGAGCGTTTAGTGCCAAACAGTTTGAGGAAGTCAGTGATCCTTTTCTTGAAAATAATAACAAAAAAAGTCATTAACAAGGTGATAAGCAAGAAAGGATCAAACATGCGGAAAGTAACGGCTCCATTGTGCCCTCCACCTAGTTCTTTTTTTTTCTACCATCACAAATCGCACTTCAGGCAACAAACCAACAATTGACTTTCTATTCCAGTATCCTTTTTTTTTTCTGTTCCTGCGGGGAATTCCAAGGATCGGCCGCAACTAGAGGACGGAAGTTTTTCCACGATGTTAATGACCTACGATTAACGCCACGTGACCAGTCATTCAACAGTTAATTTTTTCATCAGTCATCGATCTCATTTCATTATTTTTCTTCTAGAACCGCTATGTGGTCTACGTGCTAAACTTTTTTGCAATTCGATTTTACGCTTCTTGTAACGTCCACTGTTTTTTTTACCATACGGCCACTCGACTATAAAAGTATCGTTTTTACCGACGATGATTTTTCGTACCGAAACGTCCTCGTTCCTTTTTCAATGATTTATTTTCAAGGTGCCTCTTACGTTTCTTACATATATTTTCACGCAGCGGCCGTCCTTCGTTGTACAAAGTCAAGTTAATTTATCGTGATGAAAAATTTGAAAAAAAAATTTTAATACAAAAAAAGATTTATATACGTATAATTCGTACCTGTATCCTTTTCAGATTCTTGTGCCCAATCGACGATTGTCGTCAATTTACTTTTTTCATTGATCTTTGCGTCACACTCATTGTAAACGGCGTGACCGTCCAGTCCAATCACCTTATATCGGCATTTAACACCGGAAAACATGGCGGTTGCTGTGCCCGCAGAATCTGGTACTTGTTTATCCACGTTGTAAGTCTGAATAATTTTTTAATTAATTTTTTTTTAACTAATAATTAATCCCTTAGCTAACATCGAAATTTACTTAGGGGTGATTTCCTTACCCGGGTGATATATAGGTATCAGCTAAGGGGTTAAATTAAATTATTTTGACTGGACTAAAATACTTTTATTTTCTTTCATGAATTAACTCGGGCAAGGTGATTTATAATTTATCATGCTCGAATTTATTTTATTGAATTTCAAAAAAAAAAAGTTCAAATCTAAACAGTCATGACATTGAATACGCTCGCATCGTGATAGGTATGCAATATTACGAATGTCAGATTCGCAAAAAAATTTGCAAATCATTTTACTTCCGCAAATGATGCATAAAATTTTTCTCTATTTTTTTTTTCTTTTTTTTTATTACTCGTCAAACTTAGTTTTGTCGTTATATAAGAAGACGGGTAATTTATAACGCAATTCGGTAAAATCCCATCTAAACATTTTATGTAATACACGTGAAATTGATATCCGTGAAATTTGCGAAGATCGTCTGTTCTTGGAATAAAAAATCACACAAAAATGGCAATACCTTCGATAATCCGGAACTGGGGAATTTCTCAAATGCCAATTTGTACTCCTCGCCGGTTGTTCCTTTTGCCTGACCTTTGAATATTCTACCAGCCGTGACGGTAGACAGTCCCATTCCGTCGCCGACAAAAATTATCACGTTTTTTGCTTGGTTCTCATTGTTCCGCAAAGACAGGACCCTCTGAAGATGTTCCTGGCCCGATTTCATCCAGAAGGACATATCTGGGGAGAAATATGAAAAAAATTTTGACTTTTTTTTTTTTATCGTGTATCTTACCTTCGCCGTTCACCTTGTTTACGTAATTCTGACAATATTGATTTAATGAACGGAGCTACGTGTATTATAAAAATTTGCACTGACATTCCATCATTATCGATAAAGACGTGCTTGTGCTGCGTACGAAGAAATCTTTGAGATTAATGACGAAGGAAAAAAAGATTATTGTTTGTCAAATAATTACTTGTTCGAATTTGATATCAGTGGTAAGTGTTGGAGTCATGTGTCTTATCAGTCCTAATACAAAAGTGCAGTTGGATTATGACGATTTGTTTTTGGTTTCTTCTTGATGGCGATACATGATTTTTAGGCAATTTGGCCAAAAATTGTTATTATTATTTTTTCGACAAGTCAGTTGAATTACCTATACAATTGTTGTCTCAAGACGTTTACGTTGGCTGGTGCGACTGACTTATTCACAAGCTGTAGGTAGTTATTTGTATGCAATCGAGCTATTGACCAATCATAGTCGAATTTGAACCACGGTTCTTGTTCAATTATTGTTAATTTATTGCGGATATGCAAATTTTTTTGGCGTTCGATAACACGTGTTAAGAGTAATTATTATGTCGATACAAAAAAAAATGATATACAATATTTTAGAGCTAAGTTTGTTATTGTAAAATAAATTTTCTAAAATAAATTTTTGTAAGCAATTAACACTGCTTGTGATTTTTGTTAGAGATATATGAAATTTTTTACTGTCAATTCTTGAAATATTCGTTAGCAAAATCAATAATTGGACAAGTGTTTTTGTTTATGCTAACAGCAAGTGTTTTCATCGAATAATCAATAATTTGAATATGATAGAAAAAAAGTTTTAGAATTTCTCAAAATCAATATCTTAAGGAATTTCAAAATTGGTTAATCAACTGCATTGGCGGTAAAATATTTATTATTTTAATATATTCTACTTAACATTATTTCATCGATCCACGTGTGATACCTACCTTCATAGTCCGTGGAACCGCGCTGTAGGGCGTCGGAAAAATGAATTCCTGTCACGACGCACAGTGCCATCATGATGACATCCAATATCCACGTACCGGCGGCCATCTTTTTTTTAAAAACCGCTCACGTTCTATTCTACAACAATACAGAATCATTTTAATCGTTTCGCTCGATTAAAAAAAAATCACTTCTCCTTTCCAAGAATCCTTATCCGTTCGGGCCAATACAAATGTTTGATTGCTAAACACGTGGAGCAATTAATTTCAAGAATGCATTTCCACTTTTGCATTCGACTGTACAATCGATACTATAACAAAATTTTTTTTAAAATTTCATACTGATAATACACCCAACCCTCGAATCACCGAAGAAGATAAAAATAGGCGATCAAAGCAACCGGAAATGAGTATGACAGGATCCAATAATATCCGCTCGACCCAATAACCCATAAAGGGTGTTATAAATTTACCTTTCAAGGATGGGCTGAAAAAAATTTTCAAAAATTTTCGAAAACCAATATACATACATATATCCTCTATACCCGAGTGCCTCGTAAGCGGTGTATCCCAGGTGGTTCGTATGGCGGGAAAATTCAAATTGATATAAAAAAAGTGGCGCGAATTCCCACGGTTTCACGAGTAACACCTCGCGTTACCGTAGTTGCACTTGTACGCCGTTAACTAGAACTTTGTCAGCTTATATAGCTTGTGTAAAGGCCGCGAGCACTATGGCTACAGGGGCCCGAAGTGTGTAAGGGAGACTGTGGAGTAGATCGGTGGCTCGTGTGACTGGGAGGGATACTGGGGAACTGGGAGAGGGACTGAGCGTAACCACGAAGGGGGACTGGGGGGAGGGACCCCATCATAACGCTAATCCAACCATAATTGTGTCCTGACATCGTCCCAGCATAGTCCCAGCCATCGTATGCTCGACTTTTGCCGTGTGGACGTACCTTCACGTGTTCGTATACTATGTTGATACGTGATCGGATAATTTTATTTACTATGTTGATGCTTGCCACTTTTTTTTTCAACTTGGTATACCATGCTGACACATGCTCGAAAATTTTTTTTCCAGGATTCGGAAATACTCGCGAATCCTCGAAAATCTTCGGACTTTCTCAAGAGGCCGATTTACGAGGTTAAGCTGGTACCGATGATACGATTATTGAAAATTGGGTTGGCAATGGTTTGTCAAGAGCCTTGAGGGACGTCGCGACGCATGACTTGATACTTGCTGCATGCTTTCACGGTCAATGCCGATGCTTGTCGTTTCCGATTAAACGTTTACCCAATGTCACGAGGATGTTCGTGCAATGGAATAATGTTTTTACTTTGTGCTGCCAACGTGCGTGGAGATTGCACTTTTCTTCCACATTGTTGACACGTGCGTCACGACTGTCATTTTATGCATTTTTAAACTGGACTATCTGTTTTCTTGGATTTTTTTAATATTAACAAAATTTTTTTTTTATACTTTCCATTGTGCTTTTACGAGCAGGTACAGTCGCGTGCAAAAGCGCTAGTGAGTCTGGCGAAATTTTGCTTCACATCCAGCGATGCTCGCGCACAAATTTTTCCACGTGATTTCGTACACGTGCTATACGTCCGCTAAGTGGTTTGGTAATTAATGACGCAATGTCATTGTAAATTTTTTTTTTTATTCAAATATTATCCTTTGCTAATTTCTGTAATATTTTTAGCACTATTATCTGCCGATCATTAGTACAGTGCGGATTAAAAATAAACTGAAATTTTTTCGTTTATTAACATATTTATGCAATTGTTTTCTAAGGAATACCTTATAATGTCTTTGTAATGCAAATGGGATGCTGAATTGCATCTTGAATTTTTCAATACTTTTTTTCCTCTTTTTCTGGCACACTCAAGGATGTCGCCTTAAGAAATATTAAGTGTAGTTTGCCTCTTTCTCGATCCTCTTGTTTCTGGGAGTTTTGAAATTTGCAAAAAATATTTGCACTGACTTGAATTACATGCGGTAATGGCCATTGCTGCGTATATCGAGAATATTGTTAACTAATTTTTATTGGGCGTAAAAAAAAAGTCATTTTTTGTCCCATCGGTTAACGCAATCTCTATGACCTTTAGTGATCACGGATATATACTATTATTATCACTGCATGGAAAAACAAGGAAAGTATTGATTTCTACTTGGGATCCTTGAGTCAACGAATTCGCATAAACGCGACAAGCATCGTTGAGCTTCCAGCTTGATATATTAATAATTATTTATAATAATTCATTATACCAGGTATAGGTATACGTTATAGTTGTACACGTTGTAATCCTCATTTTATTTATTTATAAAGTCACAATAAATCAATTTCAACTTGACGTAAGATTTTAGAATTTTTGCACGTACCGTCCAGTGACGTAATGAAAGAAATATTTTCAATTATTCATAATGGAGTATGTTAACGGTAATGGATCTTCGAATCGAATAATTAATTTGAAAATTTCATATATTCAATAAAAAAAATTTTTTTTTTCGAAAAATCAATGCCAATTTTAACACGTGCAATTCTATCTTATTGCATGACTGACTTCGTGCACATCGATCTCCAAGGAAGGATTGTACACAAATGTTTCACACGTGATACATGTAAACACATATCGTAAAATTACTTAGTTATCATTGTGACAATCACGCCTCTTAAACCATATCACTCGACGCTCCTAACGTGACATACGTTACACGTGAGGATCGTAGAGCATTAAAGATTTAGCCACGAGCAATTTAGCTGTCATATTCGATGTCGCGGTGCAGCTGTGGAAAATTGGAAAAAGGATTTTGAATTGTGCGAGAGAAATTGAGAGATTTAAAAAGCAAAGACAATAAATTGTCTCTTTGTCCAGGGACAGTTTGAACATATGGGCGATGAATTAAAAAAAAAAATATTCAAAATTATTTAATTATTAAAAAAATTTGCAAATATTTTAATTATTTTTTTACGAACAAAGTCATTTCCTCGAGGTCATGAACCTGAACTGTTCAATGACCTGGTCAAGAATTTTTTTTACGACACGATGGCTCAGCTGTTCCTCAAGAGTTTATGGACCAATTCGTATTCAGGGTAGACAGTCATCAAGCGATTGTAATCGTCATTGATAAAAGGCTACTTATAAGAGGAACAAATGGGAAGTCTTTTGACTTTGTATTTTGTATTTGATTATATATGTCAGGGGTATATTAGTGTAGCAGCAGTAGGGCAAAACATTAATGGTGACTTGTCATGTGGAGAATCACTTGATTTCGAAATATAGATGTGTCAAGAATAATAAACTCTCATGATTAATCATAGATGTTGATCGTTGAATATTAATATTGTATATTTATAGCTGAGAAATGATTTTTCACCTGTGAACGTCGTCTTGTCATTTTTTGAAAAATTTTTTTTTTGTATATAAAATTCTGAAACAAGTTTCATAAGAATTTGTGAAATTTTGGTTATCTTGGATTTTGTTTTACAGCCAGTAGGACGTTCTGATAGAAATAATGTCTCGGATTCTCGGCAAAAGTCGGAAACTTTCGGGTGTAATAAGAATGGTAATGAGGGTATCTGTGAAATAAAAGAAATTTCGAAATTTTAATGATACTCCTGGATGCACGTGTTCATCGTTGAATTTATCACGTAATTTACAGAGATCATAAAAGAAAACATATTTGAACAGTCGACGTGCTCAAATAATCAGGATTATGAAATTATAACAGTGGATTCCATTTGGGATGAATTTTTGGAAAAAAGTGGGTAATTATTTTTTTTTGATTTTATAATGATCCGTACATGTAGGATTATCATGTTATTTTTAAACCTTCTTGCATTTGTCTACCAGAGAATTCCATGATTGCATATAAAATAAAGTGCATTTACAAGAATAATAAAATGATTGCAAAGTTTTACCTTGTGACGCGTCATATAAATCCTGTTAATTTTTAAATTAAATACTCACTTGAAATCCATCAGATTAAATTCCATAAAGGCGGAACATCATTGCGTGATGAAATTATCCTTGTGTCAGTATGTACATACGGTATGTACAATCACAGCATCTTGACTGTACGTGTGTACAATCAGTGATGAAATTTCAACTATTTGAAATTTAAACCAATTTCATTAATCAGATTGGTTAATTTGATTAAAATTTGATGGGCTGTTGATTATTAATTAATTATCTTGATTGCTCATTATTCGATTACACCATATGGTCATGTTCAGAGATTCTACTTTTTTTTTTTTAATTCAATGATGCTGCCGTAGCAAAGGAAATTTAATGACAGTGAGTTTCGAATTATTGGGGACGTAATAAAATGCGACTACGTCATGCAAGTACTGGAGTTAGTAATCAAGATAAAAGTTTTAAGAAATATATGAAAAAAGATTTTCTCACGTTTCTGCCGTACGTGAAATTTTAACTTGCTTCGAAGTCACATATGCATTTCCGTTTCCTTTCCCCAAGTTCACATTGTCAACTGTATGACGATGCATTTTCTTTGAGCAGCCTTCCTGCAAAGAACGGGTATAATTCATTAAAAAATTAATTACAGGTATCATCGTTCATCGAAACATAATATCCAAGTTTACCTTTATTCTCGAAATTCATGTCCCCATTCGATTATGCGAATGATTAAGTATCAGGAAGATTCGTTTACTATCAATAGACCGTAAAGTAGAATTCATGAGGAATTACTTACCGCCAGACGATCTGTTATCGTTGACAGAATTTAAATGGACGAAAGAAGGAGCACAGTGGTTCTGCACGGTTGAAAATCGTGTGAAAGGATTCCTACGTTACCGACAGCTGTTAAGAACTCAATATCAAAGTACGAAATAGTTTGGTTTGGATGAAATATAATTTATCTGTAACGTAGTAAAATTGGTGATTTTGAAAAAATAATTTTTGAGAAGAATTATCAGCTGATGGTCGTTCACAACTTTGTAGAGTGCAGGTATCTGCCGCTCACTAGTTACTGCCGGCCAGTGGTGGGGGTAGTGCCCACTGCGCATGCGCGAGACTGTAACGCGCATCCGTAAAGAAATGAATAGAGAAGCGTAGAGCGTGCGGCGTGCGTTGTGCCGGATGGTCCTTAGTCAGAAGGATGAGAATAGAGGCTGAAACTGGTTATTACAGCAGGAGCGTATCGGCAAGGCTCAAGATGGCGAGCGTGTCGTGAGGACGGTGCGCGTCGCGACGGAGAGTTCGTGTAGTTTAACGTGAAAAAGCACGGTCGTTCTGTGTGATATCGTAGTTATTATGTGCGGCGTTGTGTGCCCGATCGTGTTTAGTGCATTAATAAAGTGTTCGGAAAGCGCGTCGTCGCGACGCCTCGTGTGAAAGAATAAAACCGTAATAATCATTGAGAAAAACCGCGCGCTTTACGGCACGGTTTGTAAACAAACGATGAGCACTGTGATGAGTGGTGTCAACGAGACCGGAGTCATCCAGGAGGCTGACCTCGAGGTCATTATTGAAGAAAAGAATCAACTTATCAGCAGACAGTATGCCGAGATCGAGAGGCTCCAGCGGGAACTGTCAGAGGTCATCGGGGAACGTGACGCCCTTCTTTGCGAGGTGTCAAAACTCAAATTTGAACTCGAGATGGCTGATCTCAAGAGACTTCATGATGACAGGTATGTGAGGCTTCTTTTTTTTCTTTTTATTGATTTGTCTGTGAGGAGGGAGACTATTTGGCATTTTGAAATACTGATGTAATCATTCGTGGAACAATGAACGCGGCGTGTCGGGATACATTTGCTGGCTTACTCTTTCAATCGATTCGGCAGATGTTTTCCTTGGCCTTTTTCCTGGGACTTTCTTTTGGATCTTGTTAGAATTGGTATGGATTGCGGTTCTTTTATTTTTTTCTCTCTTTGCGAATCGCCCGCTTCTCTAATGCAGATGTCAATCGGATAATTGTGATGGCGCGAAATTCTTGATTCCGCCTTACTCGACGTTACTCGCGCTCTGGGGGGTTTGTTTTTTATTAATGTTTTGACTCTGTCGGCGGGTCAACATCCGCGCTCGACTGTGTATTTTTCTATGGCGAATGGCCGCCATGTAATTTTTGTACGACGATGCTTAGAATTTAGTAAACGACAATTTCGATGATAAACGTTTACGGAAAATAAGTAATTGACGTCAAAATACTTTGTACATAAATATCTACCGAATTCTTATACACGTTCGAGACGTATCTTATGTGTCATATTAATTATATATGCACAAAGTATTCTAAATGCAATGCTATTCCGCTCGTTAATTCACCCTTCGTTATTACACATTGTTTCAAATTCTCTTTTCAACACTCAGCTATCAGTTCAACTTTTTGTACTTTGACTACCCAACAAAAATTCCAAAACAAACGACACTGCTTTCCGATTCACGTCGCGCAGTTGGCAGCCATTCGTACTCGTAAATAAAGAAAAAAAACAAAAATCCCAGACGACAATGTATTTATGTCAGTCAGTTGCCAAATCTCACATCTGTCACATGGAAAAGTCATAAACTTCAGAATACCAAGGTTCTCCTACTTTATTGCGTAATTACCAACTCCGCCCTTAAACTATAGAAACACTATGTTAACTTTCCTATATAATAAAATTTAAAAAATTTGTTCATGCTCCAAACAATTTTTTTTCATATCTGCTGCTGTAACAAAAACTGTTTTACATTTTCCCTTTTTTTTAATCCTCTGTCTCTCTTTTTTGACACATACCATCTCCAATTGGAATGTGACTAAACATACATAAACTCACATATGTACTCATAGTCATTCATTCTCCTCTTGCGTGACGTTGCACATGGACCAGTAGGCTCTCTCGGCTCTGCTATAGGGAAAATCGAAAGAACTCGAATCATACGTATACGTATATGTATACGTACTCTCATGCGTGCATACAGGGTGATCCCGAAGTACGACTTGGAGTCGTTCCAACGGATTTTCGTGTCATCTATGAAAAACTAGTCGAGTATTTTTTTTCTCTTGTTCATTTCTCTCTTGCGTTACGAATATATTTTCGCATCCGAAATCATGAATATGTTTGGATCTTATATACGGGATGAAAAATTTTGAAAAAAATCAAGACAAAAATTTTTTTCTTTTACACTCCGCAACCCATCTGCTTCTTTTTTCAATAAAATTAATGGGTCCCAAATAAATAGTATAGGGTCCATATCGATCACTCGAGACGTACTTTCTTTCGTGTTACGCAACACTCTTCTCTGTCATGGATTAATTCCAAGGCGAATGCTTACACACGGGGCAGACGTGACGTGGATAAAAAAAAAGAAAGACACTTTCGTAATAACCTGTGTGCAGTCAAAAAGGCACATATGCATTTGATCGGATGCATCACCCGTCACCTGTCTGTATGCAGGTGCATATAAAAAAAGTTCATATGGTGGATAAAAAAATGTATGAAAAATGGATATTTTTAATATTTATTAAAAAAATCAACGGATTGGCACACGAATTAGATGATCAATTTTTTTTTGAATGACTTCACTTTTTTTTTTTAATGATTGATTAATCATGATTGACGTTATTGTCTGTTGGTATATATACCTAACTATATAGGTACAGTCCTGTATATAAGTATACAAGCATTGTCGTGGGATTCCTTGCACGGGCGAGTTCACAAGAGATAGAAAGCAGACGCGTGCCCCCGTAGTTATTTTATTTTCTACTTTTTTTTCTTCTCCTCCTTGCCTCGCACCGTTTCGGCTCCTTTTCACGGCAGAACGAATACGACCGGTGCGGTCCATTCGTCCGTTGGATAAGACCAAGAGCATCGTAGTGGCGGTTCGTCAGTGACTAGAAAAAAAAAAAATTCAAAATTTTTTTTTTATACTTGAAAATACACGCATCATATAAGAAACGAGGATTTTCGTAATTTTATTCTACACTGATTTTGGCCACTTTTGAAATTGAATACTAGCTATTACGTTGATATTTTTTTTGTTGACACCCGCTATTTTTCCATTGACGCGATCACAGTTTTTTTTAACGTCGCGCGTTACACGTAAGTTCGCGATTGGTCGGATGAAGATGCATGTAGACGCGCGTATAATGTCTTCTTGAATAATGCATATTTCGTTAGGCGTTCGAATTGGCCTTTTTTAACATGGAAACTGCATATTTACCGCGATGCACTTGAGCTGCCTCTATTGCATTCAGTCAGAGTCCATATATATTAACAGTATTTAATATTAACGTCAAGAAAAAAGCACGGTCAAAGATCGCCTTGACTTTTATAATAATTTTTTAAATTCCGTTTTTACCTAATTTTCAAAAAAGCCACTGTCACCTCGATTTCTGGCATCCCTTCCACCCTGTATCATATATTTCACCATGCAATTATTTTTAACAAAAATTAATTTTTTCCTTACAAAAAACAATTATCCAATTACGTCATTTTCAAAGAGCTATAATTATATAAGCCACAATGGAATTCGAATGAGGGATCAAACGTTCGACGTCAACTTCATCAGTCACGTGGTACGTTCACACGTGAACAGCCGTCGCGACGTTGAATCATGCGTGTCGCGTAATTGGACAAAGGAAAGTGATGCTTTTTTTTTCTATTTATGCATCACTCAGCATCTCGTGCGCAATCGATAACAATAAAATAATGCTTCTGTACATAATTAATATTTTTTTTTTTCCATCAATCCAACGTAAATCTCCACAATTAATATTACTGTGATGTCTGGGTATTGGAAACGTTGGATTTACCTTATTCGAGAGAAGAAACTCGAAACCTAATCAGCCGGTGAAACCGATAACGATTTTATGCCTACAGCATGATTACACCAGTCTTATCTGTTTACCGTGGTCTAATCTGATATATATTGACTTTTTCTGTCTGATGTCACGGTTCAGTGTCAAATAGCATGCATGTACGTTTTCATGCTACCGTAGTATTTTATATATATATAATTTTTTACATAGTACAAAATGTCTCTACTCTCTATATTTTTTTAATAATAATTTATATCAATAACAAAAATTTTTTTCCACAATGACGCATGCCGGTTTACAACGCAAGCCACGCGTGTCGTTAGAAATGCCATATGGACGTTTAAAAGTAGTAGGGTAGCCATACTGCTAATTACCACCGCATGTAATTACAGAGGGTTTAATTCGTCGGCCACCACCTCAAGCAGCAATATCCATCAATATTGTAATTGGAGTGTACCGGGCGAAATGAAGTAGGAGGGTTGAGTACAGTCTGCGTTAAAAATTTTTTTTTTTTCATATACCCATACCCATCAGATTACGTGTCAATTGAAATTTGAAAATAAAACGGAAAATTCTTGCGCCGCCATTTTGCATTCTTACTGCTCGAGCAGTGACGTAACGCGCGCGAATCGCTGTAAAAATATCCTCGAGTGTCTTCCCTGTATTCGCACGTATAAAATATCCAGTTCGGGGAATCGTTCGCGAATTTCAAATCGGCCATTTGCTAAATCCTTATCGATAGTATCAGCTGTATAGGGCTGTGTCGGTTCCGATAAGATTAAATTCGCGGAAAAGTTGGATTCGACGTCCGCCGACACGGTAATTCAATACGGCAGATGTTTAATGCAGACCCAATTTATATTCAATGGGCAAGGATAGAACAACAACAACAACAAAATTGTGCATATCCGGTAAATCCATTTTTTGGCGCAGCCTTCGCAACGTGATTCATGGACTGGTCATTTGTGAAATGAAGTTTGGGTCTGGATTTTTTTTTTTAATTGAAGAAGCGTCAAAGCGGAACTCGCGATGACGTCATCCCTGGGATAGATGCCGAGAGTGTTGATTCGTATATATATATCTATAAATTCATATATGCTGTACATAGGTATACAACGTGGCGCGCGAAAGGTATAAAAGTCCTTTGGGATTTTAAGGGGGAAGCGGATATATCCTAAGGATTTTCCTCGTGTCTGATTTGTTGCTGTAGAATTTCAATCCGAGACGAATTTTATTCTTTGTTTGCTTCTGCCTTATTCCACTTTCAATCATCCTGTCGTAGTTTATTATTTTAAAAATTTCCTTTCGGCACGGCTAATCGCTTTGGAGATGACGTAAATTAAAAAATATATTTATAGACTTCGTAGACGTACACTCGTAGGAGGTAAAAACAAAGGACTGGTTCACTTTTTTGAAAATACGAATTATCCGGACGTTCCTCGTTCCGCGTAGGTGAAATTGGACGCGTTGCGCTATATTTATCTTCGGTGACTCTGCGAATTTTGCACGTCTGTCGATACGCAGGAGGGTGAATTTTACGGGGGCTGTTAAAAATTGTATCTGCACGTGTTACGGCGTTTGATTCACTGGGCACGCTTGAAAACAGAGGACTGTCAGAAAGGGATTTTTGATTTGCGATTTTTACGACTGATTTGCATGTACGTAGGCGTCGCTCTTGTCGTCGTTCAAACAGTCTAATGGCCTTGACATCGAATGCCATCGAGCGGTTGTTCGACGGAGCAGTGGTTCTCTCGACGGAGCTCTTGGGTAATGACTTTTTTGCAATTTAAAAAAAAATATTCACTGGCTCGATATCGCACGACAGTGCTGCAACGTTAATAGATTTTAATTAAAATAAATTTTCGATTTGCGTGGCGGCTACTTCCGGTAGAATTTTTCATTGAAGCGAAGGTTCGAAAATTTTTTTTTTTTTTTGAATCTGCACACGAGCCTTCGAATTCCTGTCGCGATTATTCGTCTGTACGAACCACCTGGCTGGACCAAGGGCTTCTTCGATCTGCAGCCTGAAACTTTTTTGTTGGTAACGTACACGGTAATACCAACCTGACGTTACTGCAAGACAGACCCGTCAGACGGCTAATTTAAATCCGGACGCATGACGTCTGCCTTATGAAAACACGCGTAGCAGCTGTCGAAGAGTCCAAAGAATCTGTGCGCAATGATATTTTCTTTGGTAGGACAGAATTGCCGATGGACCAATCGATCTTGAGTCTCGTGAAACTCGGTAAGAAATCCGAACGACGTACAGTCAGACGATTTCATTGACTAGAGAATACGTGTAAGCAAAATTTCTTATCCAACTGACACTCGACAGCTACCGGCTTTTGGGATCGCGTATGCTGTGCTTTGTACAGTCGTGGCGTTTGTGCATTCGCCTTTTTTTGTTGCTTCATTAAGGTTCATCCTCATACAGGGAACTGGCCTTGAACGTGACTCGAAAATCTTACTGATAAACGTGTTTGCGTCGGAGCATTGTTTGTCAAGACGAACATTGTACAAGCAAATTTAAGCACAAAGTTTTTGTTGCACAAGAACAAAAAACAAGAAACTATTGTTTTGTGAACCTACGTCACTTTGTCATGTTGTTCTGCTTCAGGTTGAAAATAATAAATTATCGATCCTAACTCATCCACGGATTACATTGCATGACCAGTGTCGCGTGCACGGATTGCCTGTATAGGGATAACCCAGCGAGCGTGTAGAAATCTGAGGGATCCACGTAATCGTACGTGCGAGTTAAAGTGCGTAGCGATGAGCAAGCTTGGGGGATGAAGTATATAAAAAAAAAAAAACAGGAGGAATTTTTTTTCCCTCCCCGGTAGAAATCGCAAAGCAGAAAAATGCCTTGTTTAGGTAAACACGTATGAAACAAACAGTACTATAATCGTATACGATTCCTGGTGCGTCTAGCCGTAACGTGAGACGATGCTTCGCTATACGCATCGCGCGCATACATTCGTCCACGTATGGGTCACTCACGAGCATATGAGCACATGTGAACACCTTTTGAACAGCGCGTCGTGTATCTTGAAAAAAAATCTAGCACTCCGTTCCCACAGATTGAATCGCATATGAATCCACCTGTAGTCGAGATACTTTTACGCATCCTGAACTGTATGTATATGTATATATGTTTTGAATTATACATATGTTGTATCATATCACTTATTAGTCCCATGTGAAAGTAACGAGAGATTGACCTTGATAGCTACTTGGTATCATAATATCTATGGGGTTTGTACTTATATGTAATAATTATTAAAGTAAAATATTTTTTAATTACGTATACTTTTTTGCAGTTTGGTACTGGTATTGGTTATTGTGTACGGGCAATATTTTTAATCGATATCGATTGATCTTTATCGATTTAATTATCATTATTACGCGATCGAGCTTGTAAATAAAAGTATAAATAACTTTTTATTTATTTATCGTAACCTATGATTTCCGTCGAATATCAGGTAATTTTATCGTATTTTTCTATGGGATAATAAGTACGGGATATGGAGATCGTGGTCCAGACCGGTTGGTTATAATCAGCCTCCGGATTGGCCACGCAAGAGTCGGGATTTACAGAACGGTTTTTACTGTGAACTTTCTGTTTTATTATTTTTCTTGCATTTATTTATTTGATTTTTTTTATTTCGATATTGAATTTTTAAAAAAAATTTTTTTACTCAGAACCCTAATTTTGTCCAAAGACCCGCGCAGTGGTACCAATAAACAAAATCATGGAATTCAGGCAATGGACGTTTGTACAATTGGCGTCGCGACGCTTCGCCTGAGAAACGTTTTCTCGTGTTCTGTGAAATCGCCAGTCTGAATCCCCTCCCCCCCTTCTCTCTCTCTCCCCCCTATGCCGCTATGTCGCCGTACACGTACTTTTGGACTTGTGTATACAATACGCGTTCTCGGAACTCAATATGTAGCACACGCTTACCATGCGTGTTTACTATACTCGTTTTCACAGACAGCAAGCCTCTACGGTGCTTTTCCATGGACTTGACGTTTTTTTTGGATAATTTTTTTTTCTTTTTGGTGGTAGGCGTATTTTCATAAAAAAAAAAAACAGATTTTTGATTTCAACTTTTGGTATTGACGTACAGAAAGTTTTGCTGGGCGATTCTGGCTTATGTGAGCAACTTCAGGAGGGAAGAGGGTAAAAAATTAAGAAAAAAACCGTATATGGGCAGAGGCGTTTGGGGAGAGGGAGCGGAGGCGAAGCGTAAACGTAAGCGGTTGCCGACATTACGGTTGCGAGTGCTGCATAATTAAGGAGTCGCTCCGGATTTCGTACTTGTTCCGTTTCGGCTCTCTTGCTTCGAGCTGCGATAATTACGTCTACGTCGCGGCAGTCCAGTCTCACGGCGTTATTTACGACGAACGAACTATAGCTTTATTCGTTAACGAAACTCCCCGTCTGGCCATTGGGATACTTTGTTGTTGTATCGAGGATCCGTGCAAGATATTTGAACAAGCGGGGAAAGTTTAGAACTTCTTTTTTTGTAGTGAACTTTTTGTTGCTGTTGCATACAATTGTATTATCCAAGTACCCCAAGCTTGAATTGTATCATGGGGACTGACAATAAGTGTCGAAACGTGTTGTATCTCTTTGTGCAAGTTTTGTATTGACTCCGTCGGTCAATACGGGTCTCGTGTAGTATCAGATTCAATAAAGATTCTTTAACAAGCGCACGCGACACTCAAGGCTACGTTAGTTAGAGTGTCGGTAATTCGGTCCATTTGCGCCTCAGGGATGCTGCCTGCTGGTGCGACTGCAGTGAATCTTCAAGACGTCCCCGGTCGACCGATGCGCTTGAACGTAGCCGCATCGCTTGAATCTTACTTACCCTTTAACTCGTAGCCGTTAATGAGATTTATGCTTTTTCAATGGCACTCGCAGACCCGACGTAGATCGCGTTGAGATTCGCCGTCGGACGTTTCTTGTTAGCCACGCCACGTAAACAGCCGAGCAAACGTTACCGGCAATTAAACTTGCCCGCCCGTTTACGTAGGTTCGATATCGAGCGACACCAGCGCCACGCGGCGGCTCCGAACGTACTAACACGACGGAAACTTCAGTCGCAGACTTTTCTTTCAGTCTCCATTACGGATTGAATTGGTAGCACTGTATGTCCTGTTGTACTCGCATCGAAGCTGTCGTAACTATTGACTTTGTACCTGGAACAATTGTCGCGTCATTGTCGTTGTCACTTATTACTACAATATCAATACACTTATTACTACAATAATTTTGTACTAGGAAAAAAGTACCATCGATCGTCATCGTTCCGTCGTCATATATCGTCTTGGACCTCGCTCGTTTGTTCTCGTTATTATTACGTCAGATGGGAAAGTTTAATAAGCGGAAGCAGAGAAGCTGCTGCCAGTCAAGGTAAAACGTGTATTGAAAACCAGCGGTAAGACGTTCTCGCGATGCTTTTGGCCATCTGGCGGCGCGCCTGAGAAAACTGTCAGAAAAAAGAGAAGTTATGATTATTTCCATGAAATTCACGGTGCGAACCGTCGTGGAATCGCGAGAAACGTAAAAGTGCCCTGAGAACGTTAAATAAACAGTTCTCGGTATTCGCATCCTTTATTGTTACACTGTCGGCTCTCTCTCTCTCGCTTCCATGTTGCTTCCACCGGTACCATTTCGTTTGAAGCGACGATCCTGTCCAATGTCTCTTTAATCCGTTTGCTCTGTACGTCACTGCCGATGTAAACACAATTGCCAACTACACTCAGGAGCTGTCTTCTTTTTTTGCTGCTGCTGCTGCCATCTCCTTGAACTTCGTTCAACCAAACGGGACGTCGGTAATGAGTTATTTCGCGCAATGATATTTTTGTCCGTTACAAAATGAAAATCCGGCTGAACTGTGCGCGGCCGAAACTAAATCGTCAGCCACCGACCTTATTTTTGTACTTTTGTCCCTGCGCGCTTAATCTCCTTTGCACGGTCCGACTGCACGTGCGTGCTTGCCACTGAGCCCACTGAGGTAGACGTAAACAAGCCGCCGGTCTGAAAATTGATCGGAATGCAGATTGCGCGCTGCGTCTCGACGTGTAGCTAGAGGCTCGAGTTAACGAAATATTAAATATATTATTCGTTAACTAAATTTCCACGGTGATCCTGACGACGGAAAGCAAAAAAAAAAATTCTTAAGGCCCGAAAGCAATAATTCGCGTTACGGCGTCTTATGAATGATTCACGTATTTTTCTCATAGATCCTCTGACAGCTGATTAAACAATAATGACGTCCGACGGCCGATTATTGACGCGAAATTTGTCACGCGATCGAAAACAAAAAATTAATTACCATCGCAGCTTATATATCCAGTACAATCACAAAGTTCATGGAAAGACAACAATTTTGTTCGAACAAAAATATTTTTACAAAATATATTACACCTGTACCCGCGGCGACATTTTTTACGCGTACACGTATATCATATCTTCGTGCCCATGAATCTCTGCCCGTCTAACGCACATTTACTAATCGTCGGATCAACTGCAGGGGCCAGTTTAATCGCGAATCCAAACTAATTAACTTAGTTTAATTGATCTTAATTGAGTGAAGCGAGGCGGTCTCCTGTTGCGCACGCGCGCTCGTCTTCTACCCTCTCTCTCTCCCTCTCACTCTTTCTCACTATCTCTAATATTCTTTAATTTTCTTCCGTCTCTCTCTCTCTCTCTCTCTTACTTCTTTCACGACGCTTCGGCAAAGATCCAATTGGATCAGCCTACCGGCCTTCATGGAAGCCAGCGGCCACTTCTGTATTACTTTGTATACAGTATGTTACTGCAGTCCTACTATTCTCCAGCTATGCCCTATGCTGTATAACTCCTATCGCATACTAGTTTCCCATACTATCATTATTGCCGTAGTACAGTCACTGTCCGAAGTATCTCCATACCACAGATAGCCTTTTCCGTCTGACCAATTATGGACAGTGAAATCGAAAGGAAAGCACTAACTCGATGTACCGCTGACTAATTAACCGAACCGACTATAGCAGCTAAACCAGTGACAACTTACGTAGTCGCGTTAATCATAACCTCGTTTTATCTCGACTTCAACGACTGAATTTAATTACAACCATCCTTTGACGGTCGTCCCTCTATCAATAGTTTATTAATAAACATAGCCCCGTGACGTCACCGTAGCTTTAATTCAATTTGAGCTGTCACATTTTACCTTAAGCTTCGCTTTCTCTCCGCCAGTGGCGCCCTTGTCGCTTTCAAGCTTCGTTTTTATACCCACGTAACGCGCGCTCGGACCACGTGTTCGGTATGTTTTTTTTTTTTGACAGATCCCAGACAGAATCCTCAACGAGCTACGTAATTACGCGAAATTAGGGAAATATGTTTTAAGGTGAAAATTATTAAATGCAATCCAGTTCAAAATTATGCATATGCATCCTTTGTAGGGAAAATTGTATGCAGAGCCACGTGTGGCCACACTGGGGACTATTGTTTTTCACCTGTGTAAAAAAATATATCCAAGTCCTAGACGGACTACAGCTTGTATAGCGTCGCGTAAAACGCGATAGCGGACCAGAACCTGATATACTGTACAAAATAGAAATTAGATAAGCCCGAAAGAGAAAGATAGCTTGTTTTATCAATCCAAACGGAAATATACCTGTTTATCTTGATACGTAGGATTTATCTGTTATTTGTCGATACTTCACGGGTTTTTCTTATACGAGACACGGTTGGTTCATGTCTGACGTTATTTTTGACCTGACAATCGACTTTGATGTTCAACATTTTTTTTTGCACTTACAACTTACACGTAATTGGTGGTTATTTGTGTAACGTGGTTATTTGGATACTCTGAAATTCTCCCCTAGCGCCTCGTCATTGTTCGGCCTACTCAAACTATGCTAAGGGGTTGGTACGCATCTACTCTTTGATCACGTCACCCTTGTATACGCGTTACGCGTTTGGCTAATATTCACGCTCCCGTTTTAGATCAGCGCGTCTCCCCTAATTGCCCGATCGATGTTTTTCACCATAATTCAATTTCCATCTCGGTAAATATTTTTACGGACAGACTAGGATTGGCAGACCCTGCCCTCCCCTCCCTGTCACCCCAAAACCTCATCCGGCGGACCTTATAAGCATTTCGGCTGGGAGTGTACTGGGACAAGTATTTCCCCCTTATTCGTTGGGTGATTAAAAAAAATTATTTGACGAATCAAAGAATTTTTGCAATTCGTGATTGTACACGGTCCGTTCACCTTTTTTTTAAATTGTTTTTTGTTCGTGCTAACACGTTTTGCCTATGTAATTTCGAATTCCAGGAGCGTAACAAGTTGCTGGGGGTCTCGGGGGGGTGATGGGAGATGATTAATGAAAATGTGAGAGGATGAATTTTTAATTGCCTCCCCCCCTCTCCTATCTCCCCCCCTTGTCACTTCCACTCTTTTACGAAATGGCGAATCTTCGCGCTCTTACGTAACGACGTTCGTTTGCCGAAGCAAGGACCGGAAATTGCTCGGAAGATTGCCCAGTCTGCTCCGAACCGGCAGAACGTGGGTTTTTTTTTTATTTCGTTTTCAGTCACGAGACAACGCACGCAACAAGAAAGTGTGGGCTCCCTGCCCGACTTCCGGTTAGATCATCCCGATAGATCCCGAAGTAAGGTAACAGACGTCAATTTACGCAAGCGTAGCTTCTGAATGAATGAAAATCAATGAGTGAACGCGTGGAGCTGTGACGTAGTAAATTGTAGGTTGTCGGCCATTTTGAAAATGTAATTAAAATGCAGATTGTCCCTCGCGCGTTGTCACGTATGTCGTAATTTCGCATATGTTTTTGACACTCTTGAATATCAAGTATGTGCCGTTGGAGGTTCGTGGGAATAATGATAATGACAATGGTTTTCGTACGAATGCAAATAGTCGTACCTGTGTCGTAATTTTTTTTTTCCCTAGTCTAGCGGCCACGTGGAACAAGTATTCTCATGTAGTACATGCGTCAAGGGTATATAACGACTGCGCATGCGCATATACTCGGCATGGATTAACTCCGGGTCGCCCTCATTTTCGAATTATTCACGAGTAGCAAAAACGACTGGTATTTCTGCCCATTTCCACGTATAGATGTTTCGCAAAGTGTTCTTGAATGGGAAGTCGTAAACTCGAACCCGACCCTGGTCAGGTCAGACCCTCCAGCAAGTCAGCTATATCCAGGCTCCGATACACCACTGGTCGGACTGGCCTGTTGGTTCTGCCGACCGGGCTGTTCTCTCGGTTAACAATGATCCAGGAATTTAAGGTCTGTTATGAAAAAAGAAAAACAAATTTTTCAGAGAATTCGAAGAATTTTTTTTTTTCTCAAAATTTTGACTTTCTTTACTATTGCAATTTTGCCTTCGCGATTTTCCTAATTGCCAGTGAATGGAATTTTCGTATGGGTGTTTCGCGCGGTGTTGGCAACATTGCAAATGATCCGTAGTCGAGAAACTTTGGTGCTTTTGATGTCATATTTTTTTTTGTTTATTTGCTACAATTTTTTTTTACTTTGCGAAATTCCACGTAGCTTCACTCGAAACGCGCCAGATCGGCGCTCGCGTCAACAATGAGGAACGCAGCAAGGGCCGTGTCTGGCGGTGGCTTTTCTTAGAACTTTTAGATTCATTGTTCAAGGATGCATTTCGCAGCTGTATACCAACTGCATGCGCGTAGCTGCACATGCATCTGGCGTTAAGGTGTCAGCGACGCCGGAGAAAATGCACAGCAGACGAGGCTACCCGGGCAAACCCAAACGGGACTTTTACGCCTTTCTGCATTCTTTATTTTTTTTTTGTGACCGTCATCCTCGGAAATTCTTAACTTCGTATTTTTTTTTCGCACTTTTTTTTCTTTTTTCTTTTTTTTTTCCGTGCGTTATCTCTGACGCACAAGATTAATTGCATAAGCCACATGTGTTCTGTGGGAATCTTGAGTGTCAAGGTCGTGCCCGACCGTGGCCTTGAAAATTAGTCATACGTATACGAGAGGTTTCCGACGAAGGACTATTGAATTTAAATGACGTCGAACGTCGCGACGCCATTCACGTTATCGATCATTGTGTTATAGCTGGTAGCGTGCATTCTCTTTTCCATACTCACTCTCAGCTTCTAATCCCCTTTTACCTGCGGCGTCTATACCTACGTGCACTTTATTTCAAGGCGAAGCAAAAAAATAAAAAAATAAAATTTTGATTATCCCCTCAATTAATATATATGCCTTTAATTCAGCTTTTATTCCATCAAAGCTAGCTGCACTTATGACTTCGTTGTCGCTCGTATCTGAATTTCACTATATAACTGCATAACAAGTTATGCATATAAAATCTTGGTCATCGTCAGCGACGATCTACCGAGTGCACTTTTTAATCGAGTTTTTCGAATTTGAAATCAGCCACTGGATATCTGTCAGATATTGGCACGTGGCCCGGCGAAAGAGGGGAGCGTGCCAGGGATGGCAGGGCTGCCAACGTAACATAACTGCAACACGTTCCCGTATATCGAAATTCGCGAAATTTGGCTATTGGATTAACGAGGCCACAAAAATTTGCGCAATCCTCATTCCCCGTAAGGGAATATAACATACATTGGACTCCATTCAAAATTCCCTGCCCGTTCGGATATTCGTCATTTTGGTCGATCGCTAATGGCCAGATTATTAATTAATTAACCGTCCGACCTGCCGTAGCCGATTTCATTGCTTTCAGCTAACGTTAATACAGATTTATAATATCCCTTCGCAATAATTCCCGAGGAAAATGGATTTTGCCGAATTATCATGGGCGCTTTGCATTTTGTTCGCCATCAGCCAAGAGGCTGTTACAACACGTGGAGTCGTTCGGTATTATTTCGGCGCTAGACATAAAATTATAACAGTGCATTAAATTCGTGTGAGCATATTAAATTGCGCGAACGATAAACATTAATGGCTAAGGTTTATATATTCTGAATCGTATTTATTTATTCTGATTCGTATATATTTATATCGATCTGAATCGATTATAGTTATCGATACGGTATCCATAAATGAATTTCACGAGAGCCTCGTTAATTTTTTTTTTCACTCTGCCAGTCAATTTTATCTTAATATCGCGTGTTCGACATAGAACGCATATACGCTGTACCATTAAATTTGAATGTGTGGTCGCCTGGCGTCCCGACGCCATAAGCACCCATTACGACGTCAAATTGATTACTCGTGACGCCTCTTACACACTATTCGATTGATAACCGATACGTATCCACTTACGCGTACAGTGGAATCCGAAATCGATTCGTTTGA